ATAAATAAAAGAAAAGATTTGATTGTTTGTTTTTATGGAGTAAGATTACCCAAGGTGTTAAGGCCGTTTCTGAAGAATTGTAAGTGCCAAGTCTATATTAATATTATAAAGCTGTAGAATTTGTTTGAGCGCGCTAATATCCGAAACTACTGGTTCGATTTAAACAATTGTTTTTTGTATTCGTTAGCCCATTTATCGAGAAAGGTTCTAGGCTATAAAACATTACGCTTCGATCTGTAGGAGCAGAGTGAAACCGCGCGAGACTAGCTAGTTAATTAATAAAAAAGCTCTGAAACTATGATGTCGAATTCAAACACTATTTTACCATTCGAAAATTTACTTTTCACAACGCATCATAGGCTGCTTTTCATTTTAATATTCCTCATGTATGGAACATACTGGTGAGAAATCTATATTCTACGCGAGCGAAGTCATAGGCGGAAAATCAATCAATGATAAACATAACAGTACACACAATACAATAAATTATTCAAAAGGTTAAACCCTTTAAATAAAAAATATACATTTTGATTTTCAAAATTCATGACGTAAATATGTAAATTGTTTGAGATAAGAGTTATTATTATGTTAATTCAAGTTATTGCTTCCTTAATTAGCCTATGTTGAGATTGCTATTATACATATAAAAAAACCTGTCAAATCAATCAATGTTATAACTCACAAAAAATCATGTCATATTATGTTTTAGTTTGAATACTGTTATATGTACAAAGTCCTAAATACTGAATGATACCTAGTTTTTACTTCAATAATTGAAAAGGAGGTTTCATTGATTAAGTATTAAGAATGGTATATTTTTTAACATCCATACCTAATTATAAACGTTAGAGCTTTTTTCACGTCGCAACATTTACGATACGATTTGTTGTAGAAAGAGCAATAAAGGCTTTTAAATGATATTGAGAACAATGTATTTAAACAATAATAAAATTTTGTATGAAACAAGGGCTGCTGATGCTTGTTTCATGGCAATAGGCATGCTATATATTACAAGGAGCCAATAACATACCTATGAAAACTATCTATTATCTACAACTAATATATTCACAAAGTCAGTGTCAAAACATGGCTCCCTCTAAATTCCTAAAAAGCACATTAATAGACCCTATTAAACGTAAAATTAAATATCATCAGGTGTATTTTATCACACAAATAAGCAAAGAGCATGTTACATTATATAGATTTTACATAATGAGTGATACAAACTCACCTCCTGCTTCTGGTTTGTTAAGGTCAAAAACACGTATGAGTTTCTCATTGCTTGCGGTAAGGAGCTGAGTGTCGTCAGCATTGAAGTTGACGCTTTTTACAATGTGTTCGTGGTCAAACGTGTGCACCACTTCACCGTAACGAGCATCCCATATTTTTGCTGTAAAATAATAATAAACTTGAAATATTTTTATGCAAGATGAATGATATTTTTAGAGAACTATTATCAAATAAGTAAAACAAATAACAGGGAAAAGGTCAAAAATAAAATATTTGAAAGTCAACTAGTCAAAATCATTTACAACTATCAGTTTAATAAAAATTCTGAAAGCGAGATTGAAGGAATGTACTTTGTAACAAAAGAAAGAACAATTAATTGAAACTACAGTTTTCTTATAATTAACTCTTGTAGTAAATTCACAAGGTTATGCAAGTCTTAATTGATCAGTAATGATGCAATCAGTCAGTCAACTTACAACAATACTTTACATAATTGAGTTAAAAATCAAAGATACCATTGTCATTTCTGTTCAAAAGAAATTCATAGCATTTTATTAGCCAATAGCAATCTTTCTTTATAAACAATGAACATGGAACTTATATTCATAGCATGCTTTCATATTTATGACAGGAAAATTTCACAATATTAACCCAAATATTTCAGTGTGACTAACAGTTTTACACATAATTAGAGTGAATGTGTCTTAAGCTTATTTTGACATATGACTGTAAACTAAATATTATATTTGCTAATAAGATTGTATAAAAATTGTTGACATTTCATCAAATATATGCAAAGATGTTTGCAACATTTTTATAAAGAATAATAAAAAGCAATGTTTACCTGAGAAATCAGCTGCACCACTTGCAGCGAGATTAGCATTTTGTGTCAGAGCTACCCCCCACACTGCACCTTTGTGACCTTCAAATGTGCCAATCCAATCACCTGTTTCACCTTGTCGTAGCATAGGCTTGCCATCTAAAAAGGATTTATAACAATAAGTTTTTAATGAACCCTTCCCTTAGACCTTTCTTGTGAGTTTCTAATAAGTTTTCAATGAACACTCCCCTTACGCCTTTCTTATGAGAAAATAATAAGATTTCAAAATAGTCACACAAATACAAAGAAACCTTTAATTCTACAAAACATAAATCAAAGACAATCCATATTAGGCCCCAGGGTTTACAAACCACCTGTAACTTTTATAAACTTCACTTGATCTATGTATAAACAAGCAACACTGATAGTTTGTGTACACATAAAAGAACAATGACAGGAAGGCACAATTATATCATTATGTGTTATTGACTATTTTCCTTATACAGCCACATATTGAAAGTAGCTTAGTGGCATGTTTTCAAGCCCTTCCATAAAGTAAACATTAATGTCAAGTACTCTGACAAACCTTGAGTGAGCACAAGGTGACCCACAATGGGTGAAATGTCAACATTCAACATAGGAACAAAATTAACTGCCTGCAACAATTCATGTATACACACAAAGGCGTGGAACTTGTAAGTCATGCTGCCTGTACGTGAATAAAAAGCACGAGCGCGATCATCAAGGCGAGCAGCTGAGGAAACATACAAGCGGATACTCAAGGTACTTCCTGCATGTCCGGAAAGAGAAGGTCACAACATGCATAGAATGCATGCCGGCCAAGCGGACAACACACAAACAAGAAAAGTGAAGGCCTTTCGAACACATCTCGTCACCAACATCTGTCACGCAAAACTACAATTCACACACACCAATACACTTGCAAGACTTCCACCCAAATATAGGCCAAGGCGGTAGGGTACACTGATTACAAATTAGTCGTCAAAACTCACCTTTGCAAGCCGAAATTAAATAATACCCATCTTTTGTAACGTCACTAAAATCCAAATGCACGACTGGTCTAGTATGGCCACCGCATGTGAGAGGAACTTGCTTGAAAGTTGTCATTTTGTTTCTTAATTTTGTTTGTTGTACTTTTTGAAAATAAAACTAATTATCTTTGTTGTTAACTAAAAATTAACCTAATGAGTCTGATCGTACTGAATGTTGACAATCGACTGACGGCAAAGTGGTAGGCGGTATTGCTATAAATGTTGACCATTATTTTACCAATTTGTTTCACGGGTATCACTTGATTCGAACTGAGTAGCCTAAAAATAGAGCATCTGACCAATAGAAATAAATGTAGGGTAGATAAACTTAAATTTAATTTTATATGATTGATAAATCTATAGACAGTATAAGTATTTGAGGTGTGTGATCCCTTTAAAATTTCATCAAATCCTTTGTTTCTAAAAATGTAATCCGTTATTTTTTAGAATCTTAAATATGATTAATGTTTTTTATAACTGAGTATTATTCCATTTAACATAAAAACATTTCGGAATTCATAGTTGGTTATTATATATAAGAACAATGAAACATGAGATTTTCTAAAATGTGTGTGTGTTGTTGTCAAATCTTTACGAACAGGTTGACTCATAATTATACGTTTTTTGAACATGTTAATTGTCTTTACTAATATTATAAAGAGGTAAAATTTGTGTTTGTAAGTTTGTATGTAGGGGTAATCTTTGGAACCGCAGGTCGTATTGCCAAAATTCTTTCATTGATAGATAGCTACATGTTCCTGAGTGATAGAGGCTCTAAAACATCAGGCTACGATTAAATGGAGCCGAGCAGTGGGTGAAACCGCGTGAGAGTAGTTAGTATCTAATAACAAGCTTGCTTTTTGTATGAAAATAAAAATAATGGATTTACCTCCAGTAGGATTAAAAAAAAACATTTTTGCTACTCAATAGAATCCTGGCAAGACTGATAAACTGCAATGACGTGTCATTTGACGTTGACTTGTCAAAAGTATTGAATTTGTTGTGGTTATAAATTTGATTCAATTTTGTTTTATAGTAAATTTATTCATTATCATGGATTTCTTCACTTCTATACCAACTCATATTGACTATGTGGGCCAGGCCAAAGCTGAGAAATTATACAGAGCCATAATAACTCTGTTCAGTATAGTTGGATTCGTATGGGGCTACATCGTTCAACAATTCTCGCAGTCTGTGTACATATTGGGAGCCGGATTTATTTTAGCTGCAATCTTGACTGTTCCTCCATGGCCAATGTACCGCCGCAACCCACTAAATTGGCAGAACCCAAGGAGTAATGAAGAAAAACCAGCAGGAAAAAAGGGCAAGAAATGAACACAATTACCTTCTTTTATGCCGCACACACCATGACCACGAGTGCAATTCCATCAGTTATGTATTTCTCTACTCTCAAATAAAATAGTTAATAAGGTGTATTCGTTTTATTGCACTAGTTTCAGAAAAATATAATTCTATCTTTGTGTTGATGTGGCAGGTATTTTTCTATTGTGAAAGTACTACAAATTAATTTATAAATAGAATGTAAATTCTTTTTTGTCGAACAGGGGTGTTTTATTGGAAGAAATAAATAAATAAAACCATATTTCGGGAGAAACAGCTATACTGAATTTTAATTGTTCATAGTTATATGATAACAAACACATTCTTTACATATCTCCAGTTTCAATCATAGCACCATCTACAGAGACACAATAATTTATATTATGCAGATACTTAAACATGCAAGTACCTGCCAGATATGTGTAGTGTACATTTATAATTTATTAATAATTAGATAGATTTAAATAATAATTCTATTCACTAAACTATGCACTGGTTATGTTTATGTAAATATGAAATATCATTGTAAGTTTGAACAGGTAATTATAATAACACTATTGAATTAATTTTAAATTACCATTCACAACACATTCACTTTTGTAATGAATAAATAAAAACAAAAATTTGAGCTTCACTTACATTATTGCTGCATTTCAAATATTAATCAGAGAAATCAAATAGTAAGAAATGATTTACCTTTCAATTGTAGTATTTCGAGATATAATGTAAGACAATAGGTGTGTAAATTAATTTTATCATTAAATGCATTCACTTAAGGTTTGATAAATTAAATAACATTCACATTTCTACATTAAACATTATTCTAAACGAATCTTGAATTTTTTGACAAAATAGTATGAAGGGAAGACAATATCATTAGGTTTTAGTAAATTACTATTGGGGATGTGCTTAGTATGAGCTTAATTACATAGCTCTTCTCTATCAGTTTGGGCAAGTAATTTCAATCAATAAAATGCATAGTAAACATTCATATCTCAATGATATGCAATACATGAATTTGTTCATCCTAAAGAGATCTACATACTTGCCTACCTACAGATAAGGCACTAGAACCATTATTCAAAACCTACTACATACTTAAATACATCCATATTTCTAGTGCCTTAAGCCTCGTATTCACTCGGAAACATTTGAGACTAGTTTATGGTAATCTGTGTTAGAAGCAAATGTGACACTCAATTTATTGTCTATATAGTGTATACGAGGCTTTAACATACCTCTTTTGTCAGCTAAATATTGACATTTCAATAATTTCTACATGTAACATACTACACACATTTTAAAATGAGAACATAATAATTATGTTCCTCTATTCTAATATGTAATCTCATGTATCCTCTATTAGGAGGAAGGTTAAATATCTTTTTATTTACATTAAAATGGAAACTGTGCTTTATATAAAAGCCTTTAAGTGCTATATAGCTTTGAAATGACTACAATAGAAAACTATTTGAAACAGTGGTTATAATTAGAATGTAATTTCTTCAAATGTGCTTGGATTAAAAGTTTAAAAGACATTATGCTACACATTGAGACGAAGTAAAAAAATATACTTATGTACGTAATATTATCTATTTCAATAAAAAATGTATAATTAAAACTTTCAAATACGTCAAAAAATATTCACTGGATATTAGGGCATGACAAATTCTATCACCAACCTCTATCCACCAACTTCTGAGTGAACATCTCTTTCAAGCTGCGCTAGTTTTACCAGTCTTGCTATTAAGATGTACCTTTTTCCCGCGATCCGATGGGTGCCTTCAGTCGTCAGCCCACTTTATCATTTGTCAAGTCACAATACATTAAAAAACGAATACAATTTATCTCATGAAGAATTTAACAACTTTTAATTCGAGGTAGATAGTAAAAGAACATTAAAACATGTCTATACTATGATAAATAAGTCGAATGTTACGATACGTTTCAAGAGATTTTGTAAAATCTTCTAATGGTATGCTACACATTTTAAATTTGCGCAAAGATATAGAGAAAAATGTGATGCACATTTTATAAGTTTTCTGTATGACTCATTTTGTCTCTAAGACGTTTAAAAATGTTGAATATTCTACTCTCGCTGCAAACCTCGCAGTCCTCGGTGACGTCCTCTAATTCGGAAGTTTCACCGGCTTTATCACTGATGTTCTCATCACATTTATCCTCTTGACTTTTCTCATTCGATTCATTCTGGTTATGCGTCTTTTCTTTCTCATTTTCTATATTTGGTTTATCATCATTTTCGTTCTTTTCGTCGCTTTTCGAAGGTACAATATCTTCCTTATCACAGATCTGTTGCACAGTTATCACGGCGAACATGAATGTTATTCCGTAATTGACCAAAGTCAGGGTTACAGGACCCAAAGCTAATAGAAACACAGCCATCGAAAACAGTAGAGCTGTGACAGACTCGTAGTGTCTCCTGAAAGTAAAATGATAAAAATGTAAAATAAAATATATTATTTTAGGTGTCTTGTACAACTAACATGAGACATAATATTTATGATATTTAATCATAGCTCGCTTACATAACTAACAAACACGATTTAGTTGACTAATTTCAATCCACCCCGGAGTCCATAATCATGAGCAGCGTGCACGAAATCCGTACCACGACCGATTAATGGTTATAGGACCCCCTGGTGTCTCGAAACCAATTGAATTATCTCTTGTTGGTAAGTAATAAGTAAGACATTTTTGTGATTCGATAAAAAATAACAACTACTTGATATTGTTACGACGAACAATGAACGACTTTAAACGACGCGCAAAGCGTGCGACATTCGTCGCGAAAACTAGGAGAAACTAGTAGAACTCTCAACTTAACTCTCAGACACATTATTTTGTAACAATAAATGTAGTATGTCTCATCATAAGTTTTTACACCAAAATGAGTCAATAGTTATCAATATGCTGGTAAATTGTACTCACAAATTCTTTCTGGGTCCGTTCATTTGCCACACGCATGTAGAACAGGCTGACATGATTAAACCAGTGTTATATGACGTATCAGGCTTCAGAACCATGCTGTATCTGTAACAATTAATACGCAAACATTGCATGAATACGTATTTTATGACACATTGTATTGTGTAAGCTTAAATTAGACTAGTCAACTAAATTCTCTTTCATGTTTCGATAAAATATTGTTTCATAATTAAATACAGTTTTTTTTTAATGTAATAGGTCGGCAAACGAGCAGACGGATTACCTGATGGTAATAAATCAGCGCCGCCCATGGACACCCGCAACGGAGGAGTAACGAGTGCGTTACCGACCTTTTAGGGATTAGGGATTTGGAGATTTAGGAACTGGGGAGGGATTAGGGAAAGGGAAGGATTGGGTCTCCGGTAACCTCACTCAACGGCGAAACACAATACTGTGGTTGTTTCACGCCGGTTTTCTGTGAGGCCGTGGTATCACTCCGGTCGAGCCGACCCATACGTGTCGAAGCATGTTCGAGCATTGTAAACAGTTAGGTACTATTGCATAGCTGTATTATCATTTCTGTATTGTGAAGCTCAATAAAACTTGCTTAGATGTTTAGGTGTGCAGGCTAAAGATTTCACTGGCCAGTATTTTAATTAAAAAATTCCCACCGTGTAAAATTAATTAACATGGGTGCATTTACTCAAAAAGTAAAAAAAAAACTTTTAAACTCCAGGCTCACATACGTATCATCTCAGACTTATTTAGCATAATTATGGGAGTGACTTAGAATAGTTAAACATTGAAAAAAAAAAAAACAGCCAATTAAGAAGACGACTTACGAAAAGTTCCTAGCCCACGTGAGTAACACGGGCACATTGACTAGAGTCACAGCCAACCACATCGAAAACATCATCATGTGGAAGTTCAAATTGCTGAGATCTTCATCCACATCCGAATGCTTCTCTTTTTTACTCCCCTTGGATGATGGGCATGTGTTCTCTGACGACACACCCGTTTCATTATTCCCATCACCTTGCCCTTCTTGAGTAGTCGCTTCAGCTTTGACAAGACTAGTTTCAGCCTCATTTGTGTTCCTATTTTTCTTTTTAAACATGTAACAAACTCTTGAGCCGACCTTAGCCATCAGTTTGTATACGTAATCTTCTAAATATTCTTCGTACATTTTCGATACCTGGAAATTAGTGTAAATAATTAGGTTTTTTGTAGGGGTAAATCATCAAATGTATTCTTCTTCCGCCCAGGGTGAGGAGAGAGGGAGTGTCATACTCTTACTGACTAAAACCTCCCCGTTTCTTCTCCTGCTTTAGGCCGAAGTCGCGGTGCCTCATTGTGCTTATCCCGCAACCCCGGCTGAACATCAGCTCTGTAGAGCCCTATCTGTGGTGTTCTATCGGCTCATTAAATGATTAAGTAATGAATTTTAATTATAGGCATTCGCAATAAGGCTGTAATTAAGTTTTCAGGTATTATTAGAAAAATGATTAGTCAGGTTAAATTCTAGATAATGTTTTGTGGTTAGACAGTAGACGCGTTTAAGAAGCATTTAACCTAGTTTTACGCAACATTACCTATGGGTATTTAAACGAATATTAGTTCATTAGGCGAGCATCGAATTACCCGTGTAATTTACTATCTAACATTTAGCATAAAATAATTCTATTTGCTTCGCTAATATATACAACCCGGGACGCACTAACACTTAGGTATTGTGATTATTTTATGTACCGTATAACTAAGTAACATTACCGAGTACATTAGGTACAGGAAGCTGCATATGAAGTCACAAACAACTGTAAAGTTTTTGTATATTCATCTTTATGCCTGTGTATTAAAATTGAAAATCACTTGAACCATGGTAAATTTACAGTTTACACTTTGTAATACTCACCATAAATGCATAAAATGCCGCGCCGGCGACGAGTGAAGCCGCTCCACAGGATAACGGCGCAGCACAGAGTAATCCAGCGCTGACCACCATTGGCACTTTCTGAAGACCCGATGCCACCTTCTCCGCGAGACCACTCCCACCGCGCCACATTATTCTAAAACATATAATAGTAAATAGTTTCCGTAGATTAAATAAATAAGCTGTCCAATTTTATAGTCTAGTCTAACACTTATATTAGTAAGACAGAATAAGGGTAGCTCAAAATAATTCATTTCAATTACGCCCTTCTTTTTGTGACGGAAAAATCCAGTATGGGACGGGAGGGAGTGTCAGACTCTTACTGACTAAAAAAGTAGGTAGGTATTGGTTGTCTTCTGTAATTAAGTGTGGAGAGCCAAGTTTCGGTGGGAATTGGCCGAAGTGATACCACAGCCTCACAGAAAAACGGCGGGAAACAATTACAGCGTTGTTTCGCGGTTTGAGTGAGGTTACCGGAGGACCAATCCTCATCCCAAAAGGACGGCAATGTACTCGGTAACTCTTCCGTTGTTGCGGGTGTCCATGGGCAGCGCTGATTGCTTACCATCAGGAAATCCGTCTTCCCGTTTGCCGTCATATCACATAAACAAGTAATACATACCTAAACAGCAATCTATGTGCAATCTGCGAGGAGAACACCATAGTTGCAAGTACGACGGTGATCATTATATTGACAAAGCCCAGAGCTGTCATGTACGTGGGTAACACGAGTAGGGACTTTATGAAATACCGCAACTCCGGGTTCTCCCAGCTCGCGCTCTCGAACAGGAACGACATGAAGGGGATGGATCTGTGAATATAATTTAATACTTATACTATTAACGTGTTAATAAGTTTTTCCTAAAGCTTTATGGTTGATTTTGCTGTTTTAAGTTAGTAAGTTTTAAGTTTTTACAACCATTTTTATCCCCAAAGAGGTAGACATCATTTTTTAACTATTTATTAATGTTACGAGTCTCATACCGGGCATTTTTGAGACTGTTATTACTGAGAAGTTTTTTTCTGAAATCGATTCGTTATGATGATCATTCATTATGACTGATTTTGCTGTTTTTATATAAATGTATTGAAAAGCATATGCAAGTATTGCATATAATGGATGCAAAAAATACTTAATTATACAGCCAATAATGAAACTAATTAATTATTTAATTACTTTTTAATAAGTTCGCTAATCTTAATAATGCGATATCTATAATAGGTAATAATTCATTTTTAATAGGTCGTGAATATAAAATTGCAATATCATTATTTTAAGATTATAATACTAAGTAGTAAGTAGGATATAGTATTTAAAATATTTCAGGCTAGCTTGTTGCAACGGTTTCGGCGTGGCTTTCGGGATACAAATTAGTTTATATTTTATTCTAGACTACTTATTATATAATTTTGTGCCAAATCTCATCCAGATCCATCCAATAATTAGTGGGCGAAAAAGGCCAGACATACATCCAACCAAAGTTTCACATTCATAACATTACTTATTTGGATAATAGAAAAAAACTTACAAGAAAAATGCAGCACCAAGTCTGCAAAACACAAGAGCATAGTATGGTTTCACGCTTTCGCTCATTAGAGCGCTATGTAGCGACATACAAGATCCATGCTTCTGTAAATGCTGTATGTTGCTTCTTACAGCTAGTAATAAAACAGCTGCAGCATAAGGAACGAGCACTGGACTGTAGTTGCGAGCTAGTTGCGCGAGACGCAGGTACCAAGACGTTGATATACTGAAACGTAATAATAATAATATATATCATTACAATTTGTACCATTTTTCAATCTTGAAAGGCAATATTATTATGTCAGTAGATTTATCTACTCAATCTATAACTATGATAAATTTTCTAAGGACCTTATGAATATAATTGAGGCCTAGACAAGAGCTGGTATATTATTGTAGTTTTGAGTATGGGAACAATGAAACGGCAATTCAATCTAAAGTTTAGATTGAATTGCCGTTAGACGCTCTAGATTCTAAAGCGTCTTACAAGCCCAACCCAATCCTCAACACGCATACATCCCACAAAAGGGCTTGTAACTCTTTTGACGACACCGATTAATTGCCAAGATGGGTGCATTTGCTTGTTTGATAAACTATCCCCTAAAAAGGCTACAGTTTTCAGAAGAAATAAGCATGGACCTTAAACATCTTGAGCATTCGATTACCCAGATCGAAATACCAGTAATGACAAATATACAGTGCAAGCGAAAACCTACCTTATGGTATAAGTACATTGTGGGTCTAGCAGTAAAGTTACTTTCACATGCTCAGTTGTGTGAAGACCTTGTGTCGCGTTGGGGCTACTTCTGTACAACCTCAACTTCATTGGCGATTGCTTCATTTGTCTGGAATGGAATGAATATAATATTTCGAGTTTTATGATTTTAAAGTAGCTTCTGCTAGAAGCTTTTCCCGCATTATCGGGACTCTCGTAGACTATAATATATCTTAGTGCTAAATTTCATCACAAATCTTTTACTAGGTTTTATTATAAATTCGTAATCGCGTTTTTAACTAGGCTTAACGCAGACCATACTATGGTTTTCTCAATTTCACTTCAACACATCACCCTCAAACGAGCAACATGAGGAACGTAGGTAGCTGTTCATTCTAAATTTTTATTTTATATCTTACTAGCCTGTCCCGCGCGGTTCCACCCGCTCTGCTCGGCTACCTTTGATAGTAGTGTGATGTTTTACTACACTCAGGAACATTGCAGCTATCTATCAGTGAAACAATTTTGGAAATCCGAAATGCGTTTCCGTAGATTACATACAAACTACCTACATACAAACTAAAAATTTTATCCATTTATAATATTAGTATAGGTCACACTGTGGTTCCTCTATCGAATAACTAATAACCAGAAGATTAAAGTATACTTATTACCATAGATTAGCATTAAAACGTTAAGGTGACTTACGTAAAATAATGATAGGTTTCATGGTTCGGTGCCCACGGCACATGTAACTCAGCCGATACATGGTACTGCGTCGCTTTGCAACTCGCTGTTGGTTCGACATGTAATAGATAAGCCTGGTGTAATAGATTGAAGTTTTTCAATACAAGCTCGTAGTACAAACTTTCAGGTTCCGTCTCTTTGACTACAACAAACTTCCCGAAGGAAAATTCTGAAGGCAGGTCCACTTTAATCTCTCGTGACGCATGATCATTTATATCGACGTTTAACACTATCTGGAAATAAGGATTATGTTATTAAAGACTTATATTTTTTTATACAATATATGCTGGTTATAAATTTAATGTACTCAATATTAAAAACCTATGGAATTTTTACCTTACTAGAACCTTAAACATCTGTAAGTGGCACATCTTTAAAGATTCAGTTTACCTAATAGCAACAACATGCTGTAGAGTTATCTTTTAAAAACTATAGACGTACAGACCGCATCAAGAAAACATACGAAGTCTACCCTAATTTGTAAAAGGCTTTGATAAAGTTTTTAGTTGTCATTTATTTAATTTAAACATATAATTATATTCTAAACACATTTTAATTAAAGCCCTAACTCATGCATCTGCGTGGTGACACACATACAACACCAATTTTCTTCTTATCATACCTAAAGAAAATATTCTTATCACTAATTAATACCAAAACGTTACGTTATTTCCCTATTTACAAGTAAAAAAAAACAAAGTCTTACTCATCAACTAAACTACTAGCTTCTGTTAGCGACTGTTCGTGTTTCTGTTTTCAACATTTATGGAATAACTCCGCAAACGAGCAGACTGATTACCCGATGCTAAGCAACCGTCGCCGCCTATAGACACCCTCTACACCAGAGGAGTTACGAGTAAGTTGCCGGTCTTGGGGATTAGGGTTTCGGAGATTTAGAAATTGGGGTTGGAGAAAGAGCCTCCGGTAGGTACGGCACGGCGAAACACAACGTCAGTGTTGTTTCACGTTGGTGTTCTGTAAGACCGTGGTATAATTCCAGTTGAGCCGGCCCATTTGCACCGAAGCATAGCTCTCCCACACTTAAATCTATTCAGTAATTTTTACGTGAAAGAGTAACAAACATCCATCCTTTCATATTCCTACAAACCTTCGCGGTCTTTTCTTTCTTTCATTAATCATACAACAAAAAATTTTTGGAACGATGCCAAGATAGGTTTCAGACGTGAGTTTAAAATAAATGCCCTTTCCCTTACTCACTGGTACGACGGAAGGTCTCTCTACTAATAGATTATGAAATCAACTGTTTTTGCATGACGTCATTAAGAGATGCCAGCTACCTATCAATTTACAAACTGATAAAGGTATCTGTCCGTTAATCTGTACCTATAGATATTTAACAACATAATCTATTTCAAAAGTATCGATGTGTAGTTTGTATGATAAAAAAATATTGATTAGCAACACCGGAAAAGTCAAGCTTTGTCAAGAAACGATTTGTAGAAAAATATGGCTTTTTTAAAACGTTTATATTACTTTGGTACGGTATCCTAAAAAATATCAATACCATACATTGATAGTAACATACCGTGACTGTGTTTACTTCCTTGTTTTAATGAAACCTGCTATAAATATTCAGTCCAATTTTATGTAAACTGAAATTTTATTCAAATTTTTTTAAAACAAGATACTCACCGGTTTCCTAGTAGGTGAAACTTTGACGATAACATGCGTCCAATCGGGATAAGCCTCTTTAATTTTATGTAAGTTTATCGTTGCCAGTTTACGTTTGCCAAAGTCAGCGGCAGCGCCCGTCCAGCGGCTTAATTCGCTCAATGATATAGCATTTTTGCTAAAACAAATAATTATTAATTATTATACAATGTCTTTATCAATAAAAGGTAATTGAAATCAACTGTAAGATAAGGATAAAGTCGGTTTATAACAGAATATCAATATGCTTGATCATGAATTTCCTTGAGTTACCTATACCTACCTATATACGTAGCCGTATATAGGTATATATATATATACGTACCTATTCACCAGCAATCGTATTAAGTCTAGATTCTAGATAGATTAATCGAAAAGTCGGTAGCTTACTAGTGGCGACGCTAGGTACTACAAAATAATATACGACATAGAATACCCTATGAAAATTCCACGTAACGTCAGTTTTGTAGTGGACATGGTGCATAGGCAAACGTAAAATACCCCTTTTTTGTGGGCGACTTTCATCCATTTACTTCTCCTGCCTTTGGGTGGTGTAAAAGAGTGTCAGACTCTTACTAAAACCACCCCGTTCATTCTCTTGCAGAAAAGGCCCCATCATAGGGTTAGTACCCTGAACCGCAGAAACATAGAGTGGCCCTAGTTAGGCGTAGTGGACATATCCATAAGTGGGTTAGCAGTGGTTTGATAAGAAGTGTGGAGCACTTAGTTGTACTTGTAGGTACATAGCAAAATTTATACGAAAATTGCCATGTGCAAAAATCATATACTATATTTGCATATTGTCGTCAGCCTATAAGTGCCCACACCGAGCAAAGGTCTCTTTCTCACACGGAGAGGGTTTGAGCATTAATCACCATAGGTACTTGCACAAGCTGATTTAAAAATTAAAATTAGAAATTATAAGTCCAGGTTTCTTCACGATGTTTTCCTTCACCGTGGAAGTGTCCTTCGTCAGGGTGTATAATAATTAGTACATATAATACAGACCCGCACCCTCGTGCATAAGAAACGGACGCCTCTGGGCCACCACGACTTAATAAAGAATACTTTAACAAAAAAGGTGACTCAATATCTTCCTTTGAAGTGCCCACGTAATTTGGAGACCGTGTTTATTAATCTAATCCTATTCTATAATCATGTTTTTAATCTAAACATTTTCTTTCCATGATATCGGTTCTCGATAAAAGATAACTAACTTGCAACACGGAGTCATTAACCTTCGTGCGAATTAGTCACTTAGGTTGTTCACCGATCTACTCCAAAAATGACATTGATTGAAAATGTTATTGCTCTTTAGTAGATAAGGGAGGACCAAAGAGGTCAATCTCTTGACCTCGATATTCTTTTTTAACTGGCTGAATACCTATATGTACCTACTTTTGACGTTTCTATGCGGATTTTAAAAATGGAACGACTACAAATTCGTCTTTTTTTTTGTTTGGTTGTTTCAAATTCTGGTGGAAACCATTTGTATGATTGTGATGGGGCTTACGTCAGTAGCCAGATAATTGAAGACTTATGAAGGACATAGATAAATAACCGTTCAAAACAATAATGACAGTCAATATATTAAAATATAAGCGACAAAAGACAAGTTGATAACATGTCATGGACTTTATCTCCAAAACGCATTTCCTTGACATTGGAATCGGATATCTTCGTTTCCGTATGTGAATACAAATTTCCGTATGTGTGAACAGATTAAATCTGCTGCTACACTAATATTATAAAGCTGTAGAGTTTGTTTGTTTGAACGCACTGATCTCCGAAACTGCTGGTGCGAATTGAACAATTTTTTTTCCTTCGTTAGTCCATTTATCGAGGAAGGCCTAGCCTAATAGCCTTTAGCTATAAAACAAAACGGTACGACATGTAGGAGCCGAGCAGCGGGTGAAACCGCGGGACAGTAGCTAATTAATTATATGAAAAAAGTGCGGTAAAACAATCTCACCAGTATCTGTATGAAAAGTAGGTATATTTTGCGTTGCACCCAAATATCCATTCTTTATCTTCAAGATTAACTGCCTCTATGGCCACAAATCTGTTCTGTGGAAAGGCGACCAGCCGGATCATAAGGTAAGTCATTCTGAAAAGAAAACATTATAAATAATTTATTTTCTTCATTCTTTAAAGAGCCCACATAGCATAACAATATACTATTCATTTCCTAAAACCCTAACCTATACACCTGTAACCGAACCGAGCTACCTTTTGCTTGATAGTCATATTCTTAAATGCTCAGCTAATGAAATTGTCTAGTAATACCTATGTAGTTTAAGTAAATTCAACCATACTAGAATTCAAATGTCTCAGATTGAAATATAGCCATCTTAAAACATTGTAACGTTTGTTAAACAGAACTGTATTCAATCTGTTTTACGATCAATACAGCATTGTTACGTTTTAGTTGAAGAACGCAATTTCTTAGTAGGCAATAACTGCAAGGTCGAGCGACTATGGTCTATAAAATCCATATCGGATCCATAAATTATTCAGCGTTGCACTTGCATTTTTCTCATAAAACTCATTGCCTCAATTACGTAAACGATCAACAGAAATATTCGAATGACGTGGTATTAGAATCTTAAAATACACGTTTATTGCATTTCTGGATGTCAGCCAACACATAGATACATAGGGACGTCTCATAAAAACGAACTAATGAGTGAATACGTCTCCGCACGTCATAGTACATGGTTATTTCCTTAGAAAATGAAAATTGTCTAAATACAAGCTGAAATGAACCCTATGTGGATGTAGTTAAAACACAATACAATACTAGGGCAATATAATATTGGCATAGGTATTCACGATCATGAATTCTACTGAGTTAAGATATTCGACATTAAAAAACTAACATTCTTATCATATTGGAGAACCCTTTTTTTCTCAGGGGAAAATCATCAAATGTCTTCTCCGACCCAGGGTAAGTCGAGAAAGAGTGGCAGACTCTTACTGGCTAAAAACCCCCCGTTCCTTCTGCTGCTCTAGGCCGAGGCCGCGGTGACTCATTGCGCTAACCCGCAACCCCTATAGGGCCCCGTCTGTGGTGGTCTATTGACTCTATGAGGCGAGAGCCGAACGCTACGCGCCGTACGCTCAGGACTGGTTCTGGTCGGGCGGCGAGCTACCGTTGCTCGCCGTCCTCGTATCTCTCTCCGTATCTCGATATTGGAGAAGCCTAAAAGGCACAATTTCACACCTTCCACGCCTTTTTTAATAGTTATCGTTCTAAGATCGTTATAAGTTCTAATTTCTTTGAGGATTGGAGATGGAAAGGAGTAAAAAACGATTGGGCTTCCAGAAACCAGTTTTTTGTGGTATCACTCGGTCGAACCGGCCTATTCGTGCTCATACGTGGCTTTCGGACAGTTAACTTTTAAACATTAACTTTAAAAATTAAGCTCTTATGCACAACTACATTACTATTGGAAATAATGTAAAATCTAATTTCAACGACTAATGTAGTTGTTCATGTGAATGCAACATGATGAAAATGAAATGGGGTGTTCAGATCGCAATTAAAAGGTTCTAGTTGACATGAACGTGTTTATCGACACGTTATGTCGTTGACGTATGACGTTGCGCGCGTTTACGCGCTCGATTGGTCACATCCAAGCTAACCAACCAATCAGAGAGTAGCCCTCTCTGATTGGTTGGTTAACCTTTCGATCGCGTCAGTTTAAAACAAATTCGCACTGGAAATTAAGGCGCAGCAGATGTCTAAGGTCTAAAATCCGCGGAAAGACCAGCGATAGACGTTTCTAATTTGCCTTCAACTCTGATAAATGTTTCGGTTTTACCCACCGATAAAAGACATTCGTAAATGGGAACGAATGAGAAATTGTAGTTGATAGATACTAATTAAACTGATAGATCAGGTTAATTGAAATTAACCTTTATGACGTGGAAGGAGACAACTTGTCTATTTTCCGATAGCTCTCGCTCTTTTGAATAACATAAAATCACTCTTTATTCCAAGCAATCTCTCTTATGGAAAAGGTTGCACGTTATTAATATTTATTTGTTTTTTTTTCTCTTTGTTGATGTCGGCTGGTGGGTGGTGCAGGGTTGTACTAACAATTTTTGTCAAGCAAACAATTTTCCATAACATATATTTAGGCATCCTTAGTATGTAATAACTATTTGTATTTATTATACATACCGTATCTATATATCTTTTATTGTTTGTCCATGTCTGATAATGATTCCTTTTTAACAGCCAATTCTTCTTCAGAAAACGACAGCTTTTGCTCGATTAGTGAATCTTTGACTGATTTTATCCACAACACTTTTATCGATAAAAATAAACGTTTGTTGAACGTCTGTCATATAAATGCTCAAAGCATTCCGAGCCATCACAGCGAACTATTTGATACCTTCAAAAACAGTAATGTCCATGCCATCCTGATATCCGAAACTTGGCTAAAACCAGCACTGCCGTCCACAACGTATGCCCTCCCAGGTTACGTCCTTATAAGGAATGACCGGACTGTTAGGAGGGGGGGTGGTGTGGGTATATATCTGCGCAGCGAGTTTATGTATAAGGTGCTCTTCACTTCAGCTTCTGGCTGCCCTGCGGAGTACCTTTTCCTCGAAGTCTCTGGCCAAGGGGGTAAAATTGTATTGGGTGTTGTTTACTGCCCGCCTACTGTAGATTATTTCACCGACTTCGAATCGGTTCTTGAATCTTTGGGTTCTGAGTACACACATCACGTAATCATGGGCGATTTTAACACCAATCTCCTATCCCATGAATCCTATCGGTCCCGTAAACTCCTTCAAATTGTTGAATCTGCTAACTTCCATGTATTGCCTCTTAATCCCACTCACCACAACACCGTGGGCGATGATTCTTGGCTAGATTTAATCCTTACCTCGAATCCTGCCTTTGTATCTTGTCATGGTCAACGTGACGCTCCAGGATTTTCTCACCATGACCTGATCTTCCTATCCTACATCCTAAAACCGCCCAGGGTGAAACCTAGGGTCTTGTATAGGCGTTGTTTTGCGCGGGTGGATGAAGCAAAATTGCAAAAAGATGCGTCATTGATAGACTGGGAGCCTCTAATGGAGGCTACTGGAATCGACGACAAAGTTGCAGTTTTTAATAAAGCTGTGACTAATCTGTATGACCATCACGCTCCCTTCAGGAAAGTGAAAATAAAGCGGCCGCCTGCTCCATGGATGACGCGAGGCATTAGGATGGCAATGCGGCGCCGAGACCGTGCTTTTCGCGTTCATCGAAGGGACCGTACAGAAGAAAATTGGACAGCCTATAAGATTGCAAGAAATAGGTGTAACCAGATGGTGCGTAACGCTAAGCGCCGCCATGTTCTCGAAAATATCTCTAATTCCTCTTCTGCTGACATCTGGAAATTCCTTCGAACTCTAGGTGTCGGCAAAGCGCAATATTCAGGTCTTCCCAATTCAATTGACTTAGATGATCTAAACAATCATTTCTCCACAGTCCCTCTTATGGATCGTCTAGTCAAAAAACGCACCGTGGACTTTATTTCTGATCTGATGCGTCCCAACATCTCTCATCCTTTTCTCTTCGTACCAGTTGAATTGTCGGAGGTCCGTAAGATAATCCTATCCATCAAGTCCAAAGCTGTAGGTTGTGATAACATTTCTCGTCATATGATCATTAATATCTTGGATCACCTCCTGCCAGCTTTAACCCATATCATAAATTATTCCCTCTTTTCCGGAACCTTCCCATCCCTGTGGCGTAATGCCTATGTCCGTCCTCTTCCGAAAGTCACTGTTCCTACTATTCCCTCTCATTTTCGGCCTATATCTATACTCCCGTTCCTATCCAAAGTCCTCGAAGCCTGTGTTCATAAACAGCTTTCAAGATACATTTACATGAATGGACTTATCAGCCCTCTGCAATCTGGATTTAGACCTGGCCACAGCACGGTTTCCGCCCTCCTCAAAGTGACTGGCGATATTAGAGCGGCCCTCGAGGATACCAAGGCCACCATTCTGGTTTTGGTTGATTTTTCGAATGCCTTCAATATGGTCAGTCACGAAATCCTTTTAGCAATCTTATCCCATCTTGCGATCTCTGGCAAATCGTTGGAATGGTTCTCTTCCTATCTTCAGGACCGTCAGCAGTCGATTAAGCTTGATGAGGTTTCATCTAATTGGTGCAAATTGAAAACTGGCGTTCCTCAAGGCGGTATATTATCTCCTCTTTTATTTTCCATCTTCATTAATTTAATAACTTCTGAACTTCAGTGTGCGTACCATCTGTATGCCGATGACTTGCAGTTATACTGTCCAGCTAATATTGATGGGCTCTCTGAAGCAATTATGACGATCAATAGCGACTTGACTGCTATTAAGAACTGGTCTGAACGGTTTGGCATAGCGGTGAATCCTTTAAAATGCCAAGCAATCATTATAGGTAGCTCTCGTACGCTAAGCGGAATGAACCGAGTAAATTTACCAAACATTCTCTTTGATAGTGCCACTATCCCGCTAAGCAATGAGGTAAAGGATCTGGGCCTGTATATTGACTGTACTTTGAAGTGGCATGCACAAGTTGCGAGCGTATGTAAGAGGGTCACTGGATCCTTACGGACACTGTATCGACTGAAGAATTTGCTTCCGTCTGCTACGAAAGCGATGCTGGTGCAGGCCTTGGTTTTTCCTATTATTGATTATGCTGATGTTTGTTACTACGACCTGAATGCTGATCTACTCAATAAACTTGACCGACTTCTTAACAACTGCATTCGATTCGTTTTCAACCTGCGTAAATATGATCATGTTTCTGCACATCGGTTGCAATTAAAGTGGTTGCCCATACGCCAGCGCAGGGAGCAAAGGGCGCTAACCACTCTGTTCTCTTTCCTTACTTCACCTTTTTCGCCTAGCTATCTATCGTCTTACTTTCAATACATGTGCGCAAACCACAGCAAGAACCTTCGTTCTTCCCATAACCGTCTTCTTCAATGTCCCACTCATCGTACTGATTTTCTCCACTCCTCCTTTTTCGTCCAGTCTGTCTTGCTGTGGAATGCGCTCCCCCCTGATATCAGGATGGTGTCTAGTCGTTTGACTTTCAAACAAAAGGTTCGTGAGCTCTTGCTAAAAGGTTTGGCTGAATCGTGACCACCATATATATAGTATATTATAATAATTATAAGTATATATTGTATATGTATATGTTATTTATAAATATATTATGTAATCTGAGTACTTAGTTTATATATATTATATTGTAACTTGTAACTTGTGTGTAAATATTTGCACATATATATGTACCTATCTCGTCTTCACTCATTTAAATTTAAGTCTGTTTGCTTGCTTCTTGCACCGACCATTGGCTCATCTCTGCATCACCCAAGGCTCGACTGGTAGAAAATGCCTGAGGCATTAAGTCCGCCTATGTACCCATTGTGCATGAAGTTTTAATAAATAAATAAATAAATAATAGTAATTATGGTGTAAGTATATTACTGTACTCTAGAATTAAATTGTGATACAGTGAAAAATACTGTTACTGTTAAGAAACCTCCAATAATACCTAAATAATTGCCTATAAACAATAATTGTCTAAACCAAGATGAGAACTTTCTTGCCCTCACCTTGGAAGCGCTCAAACAAAAAGGAGCTCTTTGTTTTGATAAGGATAACGATTCAATGTATTCTCTCGCTCTGTGTGGGGCAACAGAAACTGTCAGACTCTTATTGACTAAAAACCATCCAAATCCTCCTCCTCCAGGCTATGACAACGGTACATAATTGCGTAGAATCTAAATCAAAGTACCTAGGTATAGTATCTACACAATCATAGACAAAATTAAAATGTCATTGTTATTTACATCATATCTATAAATTCTGTAATAGGTATGTACAGTTGTATAATATTTCTACAACCAACCTCCTTGCATAACATACGTGACCAACTTAACATATCATTATCACAACACAGGAGATCACTGCTAATTATATTCCTGAATTCTCAGAGTAGCAGTTGATGTCATCATACATTGATATGCAGAAGAGATATGAACGATCATTAGAGTGAAACAAAGGCACAACGGAACCTTTTGCAGTTATGTTTGTTTAATAAGCGGCTTAGTAGGTATATAAGGTAAATATTTATAAACAAAAATTTATTTTTTTATAGGATAGTTCGCCAAACGGGCAGACGGATTACCTTGTGGTAAGCAATCCGCGCCGTCCATACGCAGCTGCAACGCCAAAGGAGTTACGCGTGCGTTACCGGCCTTTTTGGGATAACGGTTTTGGTATATATGAATTGGAAAGGGATGGGGAAGCCATTGGGCCTCCGGTAACTTCACTCACACGGCGAAAGACAACGCTGTAGTTGTTGTACGCCGGTTTTCTGTAAGTGTGTGGTCGAGACGACCAATTCGTGCCGAGGCTTGGCTCTCCGAAACTTAGTCTGGAGTTTAATTAAGAATAATTTAATTTTTTTCAATTATTCTTAGTAATGGAGTGAATTCAGGTTATTATGGTCGAAGAGAATGAAGATTGCATTGATTGATTGCAAGGTCAAAGTAGGTGATGTGCAACGTGTCGCCTTGTTCAACCCCTGCACGAGTCTGGATGTAATGCGAATGTAAAATTATATGCTTTAGAATTTGTTTCCACGATATAAAATATTCGTCAATATTTTACGTGCATACCTACTACATAGGTGCAAAAATAATTTTATTAAATCGAATTAAAAACACTTTTATTAATTCAGTTCCTACTTTGCAAATAACTGAATAATTCTCCTTTGCTTATTATTTAATTTAATTTATTTAGAATTCTGCAGTAGCAACTTTTAACCACAATTTTTAAACAATCACCCAAAATGACAAACTCAGGTCAAGGCTATGAAGAGATAAAAATAAAACCAGCTGTCTTGTTTGTACTAAATTATGTGTCTAACTAAGAACATCTTAATATATGCTGACCTCATTGGAATGCTACTGCAAAAAATATTCGGTATAATTGAAAACCTCTTCCTTATTTGAAGTTTCTACATGCTTTTATTAATACATTGACTGCGATGAGATCAAAATGATCGTACTAATGGCACAAAATCATAAATTATATGTACGCCTGTACATTACGCATGTAGGTGACACTCCGGACATCGGGGATCGTGCGGAAATCTCCAGGTACCGTAAGTGCGGGTTTGCGGACAACCAAACAAAACCCGCGCGTACAGCGCGTAGCGTTCTGCGCACGCCTAAAATACCCAATAGAAAACCATAGAAGGGGTCCAATTGAGCCGATGTTCAGGCTGGTTTACGAGACAAGCGCAATAAGGTACCACAGCCTGGAGCAGGAGTAGCAACGGCCCCCCCGTTTAACCAGTAAGAATCTGACACTCCCCAAGTAAATATGTACAGCAATACTTACTTTTCTATCTGCGGCCTCGCTATTTGATAGATCCTTCTATTATCTTCATACCAGAAAGCATCAGCAACCATGGTCATATTTGCACGAGGTATATCTGGGCTCAAAATCATTGAACGATTAGCCTGAAAAAAATCGTAAATCATAATAATGCCCAAATTCTGTTGAATGACAGTAGTTTGCGCAAAAATGGACAACCAAACTAAAAACCAACTACTACAACTACCAACTAAACACTTGTTTTTTAAATGTTGCCCCACACTAGGATTTTCTCCTGTGTCGTGTCGTGGGTTCGTTTACAAACACACACACACACTCACACCCAGATCCGATACAACAATTTGTAGATCACACATACCTAGAGATGTTGCGTGCGGGAATCGAACCAGCCACCGCGCCAACCGTGCAGTCGAAAGTGAATTTATGGAAAATATCGACTTTCATAGGTGAATTTAATTTTTAACATGCAGTTTGAGTCGTCTACGGGACATCACCGCGACGCGCACGCTTCTCATGAATAAGAATCCCGTTGTGACTTGAAAGTCGTCGATCTATTCTCAGTAAACTCACGCAAATCGTATATTATACTAAAATTTCGAAAAGTGCGCAAAATATTGCGCAAGTGCGCAAAAAACCGAGAGAATTTTCTACAGAAATACTTCATTATTTCTATAACTACATTTAGCTAACCTACATACCTGGAAATACCGGCGAGCTTGTAGCTTTAATACTTGCTGATCTTCACTCAGCTGTTCCGTTTGAGGGTCCACAATAGAGAATAAATATCTGTTTATAACCATCACTAGTTGTTTGCACCAAACTATGCATACATGGTCTGGTGATGTCCATACTCCTGGGATTGCAGTAGTCTATAAAAAACGTATAAAAATAGCATAATTTTATAAAAAACTATGGTTATCTTGTTTTAAGTTGTTTTTCAATGTAGCAAGTTTTATTTTATTTCAATTGAGCTAAATGTTCTATAATCTATAAAATATATAAAACCATCTAGATAAGGCAGTTTCGTGTAATTTTTTATCAGACACTACTGTTATATGTATCTTTTTATATTAACAAATAAGCAATATGCATTTCAATCGATTATTACCCTCACATTTGGCTGTTTGGAAAAATGTATCACCTAAAAGTAACTTTAACTTTTTTAAACTAAGAATACATAGACAAAAAGCCTCACTTACCAAAGCATTAATGTAACTATCATTTGAAGTAGTCAAACCAGAGGGCATTAATACATCGCGAGGGCCATTTCCAAAACTAAGCAGCATCTTATTTTCTTTAACATGCAATTGACTATTTATGTTTAGTTTCCATTCTAAGTCCATTAACATGTAATAGTCATCCATGGCCACATCCACATTGACTACAGGAGCTTCCAATGGCGCTGCCAATGTTATAGCTAGCGACGTCGCGTTGAACGTACTTGGGTAGGCCAACAATCGCTTGGCTATTAGTCCACCCTGTATAATTATTAAATCAACTTATTATAATAACTATCATTAAGAAGTAAAGAGAGCTGGTGGACATAGTTATAATTTGCTTTGCATTTACGTGTGGAAAGGAAAGTTGGCAAAAATGTGAATTATTATGAAGAAGTTTAAAAAATATAATCAACTCATTGAACATTATAAAACTCTTTAAAAACAGTTACAACAAAAATGGAGTAGTTTCACCTCTTCTTTTAAGACATTGATTTAATGCAGTTTCTTTCATTACAATGTTTTTTTTGTGGTTGTAGAGTTCTGTCTCACCTTTTTTATTGAAAAAATCACCCTTGAACTATTTTACATATGGAAATGATATTAAAAAATTTATAAAAACTTCCAACTCACCATAGAGTGCCCAATGAGGATAACTGATGATGGTACAGACTTAGTATACCTATTACTCTTGTATAAACTCAAGATCTTTGTAATGCAAGCTGCTGCAAACTTGGTCTGACTTTGAAGCACCCCACCATAAAGTCCAGATAATTCCTCATTGTAACTTACTAAAAAGAAACCAATTGTTGACTCACTAGTTTTTATAAAGAGAATACTTTAAATTTCAATTGTTTAGTTTTTTCGAAAATATGTAATAATTTACACAAGTATTAAAAAGATAAATTCTCACTAAATAGTTTGGTAGCTTTACCCAAGCTCTATCTGCATCATTTTCCAATGTTATATAGGTTACTAGGTATTAGTAACCAATTAAGGTATTAGTAAGCACGTGATTATACTCATGATAACAAACAACTTTTCAAAAGAAACTTTTTTTATTATCATTCGTTAGTTTTATTTTTATTACTAAACCAAAATTAACGGCGCGCGTGAATTCAAATTTCGTGTGTGCCGACGTCGCCCAATCAGCTCTTAGCGGCGAGGACCCGCATGCTCGTGTTGTCGTTGTCAAGGCAATTTACCTACATTTTACAATATAAGTATTTACAGAAAGTTGCTTGTTATCATGAGTACAACCGTGTTTTTAAGTATTGATCACTCATTACTGGTCACTCTAAATATTGCTTCTAACTAGTTAACCAACTGATTTAAGTATAATTCAGGCTATATATTCAAAATTGAAACAATTGACATTAAAAATTAGGTGCCTAACATAATATGTAAGCAAGGATAAAGCTGTAAAAATTGAATCAGTTACCAGAATTGTATTGCTTAAATTGGCAAAATCATTAATCAACCATCCAACAAACCAAATCAATATTAAACCAATTAGTTGCAATATTACCAAAATTTAAGAAGAATGGTTGAACACATAGAGTGCACAGCAGAATCATACAAACAATAGTTATTACATATTTTCATTTTTCAATATTACTTAGTATGACAAAAGACTTACTTGTAAAGAAATCAAAATGGTGTTGGTATCCTTTTGCAAGAGCCTTCCTTAGAGCCACAGATGCTAGTGATCTGACTTGCATATGGCTACCTGAGTTCCCAGGTAGAAATAAAACTGGGACACCATCAAACCTGTTGATGTATTCATATAGAGTATATTGAGGTATGATATAGGTATGTTTATATAAATTATATTTATTGATAAGGCAACTGAAATTGCTTAACTTTTGAAACATAGAAGCAAACTATTTAAATATTAAATTCATAAACAAATTCATCAATGAAAAATAGGATGGTATTGATGAATTTAACTCAAACTGATTATATTGTTGTAATTTTAATGGATATTTCTAAAAATAATGCAGCTGGTTTGAAATAAACCATTGAAACTTAATTTCTACATTTATTTAATGTTTTAATGAAACAAATATTGTGTATAATTAAATACTTGATAAAACACTTACCACATTTTTCTGGCTCTCTCAGTAAATCTTCCCTCACTATATGCGTATAATCCATATTGCGGATAAATTTTATTTTCAGGTACAGATAATCGCTAAAAATATAAATGATATAAGCCTTTGCCAGTGGATCTACTAATAAATTTCTATATAAATTAACTAAATACTTACTACAAATTGTGGATACTCAAACATATAAGTCATAACACAATAGTTATTTTTGTCACTAAAATACAAATTCAAAACACCGAGAAGATAACCCACAACAAACAAAATCGAAAGAATTTGAAACACACTGGAACCCAAAATCTTAAATAATCTCATTTTGAATATTTTATGAATATGAAATATATACTAATACGGGTGCGATAATGCACTTTTTATTAATTACATTGCTTGTGAAATCATTAAACTATTGAACAATTTCTCTTTTCACTCGTCACAAAATCTGCGAATATCAAAAGATTGCCTGCATTTGTTTGTCAAATTGTCACCTTGACATTATAATGACGTTTATGTTGGTAGATAGCTGTCAATTTTGCCATCTTCCATGACGAAAAGTAGATATTGATCTTTGGTCAAGAATATTTTAAAATAATGCAGCTGTATGAAAAATTCCTACAAAATATACTGGTGTTGGTATATACCTTGTTTAAATTAGTCGAAATTCATAAGTAAGTAAGTATTACATGAAATAATCGGGGAAAAGTTTTAAAATTTTTAATTTATTGCAATTTTAATGAAGACTATTGATCACTGAGAAGTCCTTCGGCCTTTATAATATCGTAAGGTCCATTTTCTCTCACCTCCCTTCCTAACATACAGTCCGAAACCAATAGCTCAAAATAAATGTCAATTGTCAAACCTAATATGATGTCAAAACAATCCGACGTCAAACGTCAAGACGTCAATGCAAAAAAAATAACATAACCTTGTCCTCCAAGCTTCTAACAATAATAAAAACAATTCATATTATAAGTATAAAGTTCTGTTGGAAAGTGAGAATTGAGTAATATAAACCAGAATATACTAGAAATATTTTATCAATTTCAATCTAAACCGGACAATATGACGTTTGAAATTGTCGGTGCTATTTTAATTATTATAGTTACAGCATTTCTTCTAAGGGTTCTTTACCTTATATATGAAATTACTATTGTAAACAAATGTGAACTGACAAGACCAAAATCACTAAGAACTATCCTTTGTATTGGTTCCGGCGGCCATACGACAGAATTACTGAGATTAGTGAAGAACTTGAACACGAAGAAGTATCAACCGCGGGTTTATATTTTAGCTGATAATGATGTCAGTAGTGAGGTGAAGATTCATGAAACAGAGATGGAGCGAAATGACTACACTCTGAGCAGGATACCAAGAAGTCGAAATGTGCAACAGTCATATTTTTCTTCAGTAATCAGCACTCTCTATGCTACATTGTGTACATTACCTGTTATTTATAATTTTAAGCCAGATGTTATTTTTTGTAATGGACCAGGAACTTGTGTACCAGTTTGTGTTGTAGCTTTCATTTTAAGATGTTTGTTCTTGTTAGATTGTCGCATAGTATTTATTGAAAGCATTTGTAGAGTTCGAACTCTGTCACTGACTGGAAAAATACTGCAATTTTTTGCAGATATTGTAGTTGTACAATGGCCCCAACTGAGGGATGTCTGCTTTAGAGCCAAATATTTTGGTAGACTAACATAAAAAAAGATATTTTAGACTAGTTTAAGTTTTATTATTTGTTGTTTTACATTTTGAGATGGTTGCTTTTAAATAAACTGTAACAATTTCCTTATTTGGTTTCACTCTTGCTACTTCTAGAAGTATTTTTAAATCAGTTGCTTGAAGTTATGAATTAACTAGCTACTCTCGCAGCAGTTTCACCCGCTGCTCAGCTCCATTTGATCTCAGCCTGATGATTTATAGCCTATAGCACTCAGGAACATTGTAGCTATCTATCAGTGAAAGAATTAAGACAATCCAACCACCAATGGTTTCAAAGGTTTCCGCCTACATACAAACTTACATATTTTACCTCTTTATAATATTAGTATAGATGTAACTTTGGCTTTCTTTTGGGTATTGAAACAATTGAATAACTTTAAAAAGTGTATAATTAATAGCTCTAGGGAGATCAGTACACAAATATTTGGGAGTTTTTTAGTCACAATGTTAATATTCTATCTGCTTTTCTTTTGCATTTCAAATCACATTTTTTATGTTGACACAACATAATTTATATAACCTTGCAACATAAATTAAAATTATCCTGTTTACAACATAGTTTCTATTGATAAATGAAAGAAGATCCCTGAAGCTGTATTAAAACTATTCTTAACAACACAAGAAGCAATTTACAATAACAATTTATTACAAACTACAACTGTGTTCACTTCATGGTATTTCAAAACATGAAATACAATTATTTTCAACATCTTGTGGACATTAGAGCAATGTAGATGAGTACAGTTATCATCTACATTACAATTGTTTTCATTAGCAGTGATTGCCAATCAGTAATAATATATAAACAGTATAGGACTTCTTGAATGGCTGAATCTTATAGAAATATTCTTAATATCCTGTGCAAAACTTATGACAATATCATTAATTCCAAGACACACAATTGTTTGTGTATATTTTTCATGTTGACCCTATTTGTTCTAATCTACTACTATCTATGTCAAATCTACATCCCTTTTAAAAAATTGCAAAGAGCACTTGCTACAAAAGGCACATATTTTTCCTAGAACAAAGGCCATTTATTTAACCTTTCATAAAAAGAACACTTCAGTTAAGTCTTTTAAGTACTAATTTTTCTTAGCGTGAAATGAAATAGCCTTGACCGAAATATTGTATAAACACTAAAACATGGTTGACAAAATGGAAGGTAAATATTTGAGTTCAGTAAATACTGCAAAATGCTTCATTTATTTTACAAACTAGCAACTTCTGTTTAAAAATCACAGGAATGGAAGTTACAATCTGTACTACACTTACTTGCCAGTTGGAACATAGGGCAAATAAAAAACTTTTAACTAAATAGTGAACAAACTCCAAGTTAGTATGCCCACAATCTTTGGCAGTAATTACAATCTTTTTATACTCAGATCAAAATTTGGGGCTGGATTCTGGCAACATTACTAATATAAATGCATCAGTCTTCATATTAATCATTAATAACATTGCAGAATGTGTAATGCAATAATAGTGGAGCCAATACATGAATAACTTTCTCCCTAGCTCATTACACTGGATGTAAGCTCCTTACATAAAATTATGTTTTTCACAAATTACCATTTTAAAGAAAATAAATTGCGTTTTTGGATTAGACACACATAAGTAGAAATAAGTGATACATAAAGTACCTTGTCACACTAGAATTCCACAATATGAGACTGCCAAAATGCTATGAGGAAATAATACTATGTATATTCACATTACTTCCTTATTTGTGACAATAACTACATATAACATTTCATAATTCTAAGTTTTTCTCGTTACATAATATCATAAGTTTTCAACATCTAAAGTAAGTATTTCATGTCATTATTGTTCCAAACAAGCAATAATGTTTTTTCATACAAACAGATCTAAAATCATCTCTCATTATACACAAAGAGATCAGCTCATAGCAAGTGGCAGTCAACACATCACAAGTTCATAAGTTTATCTTAAGCTAGTTATTAAATTACAGATACCCTTTACATTGAGAGATATATAACAATATTGCTAACAAATCAATATTTTAGGCACATCCGAGAAATACTATATTAATAGTAAGTGACTATTTATCTAAAAATATAAGTACAAAAGGAAGAATTAAGTTTTTCTTACTTAACTAGTTAATAAACAAGTACACTTAAGTATTATTCTCATCTTTCAGGGTTTACTATCATCCAAGTTGCTACTAGATGTTTGATTACTAGTTTCTTGTTTGGCACTGTCATCATTTTTGTTTTCATTCCGTAGTTTTTCATCATCTATTAGATACATTGCTTCATCATATGTTGGGGGTGGAGGCTCTGAGCTGGAAGGTTGAGGTTTACTTGTGGCAGCACTTCCTATTAAGGCATCATAAGAAGGTGGTAATGTTGCACTAGATGCAGTGCGAGGTACTTGACCGCTGTAGGCTTGTTCAGCTTGGACTGCAGCCATATCCTATTAAGAAAAAGAAGGTTTATAAGTTTTGCAGGCAATTAACACTTTCTTTAAAGATAATGTAAAACAAATATAACTATCTTGAATTTAATTATTTAGTCCATCTTGGGTATTAGTGTCTTAGTTTTATCTCTTATCAAACACTTCAGTCAGTAGTTCAAGGTGAGTAATAAATAAATATTTATTGTTGATTATCTGATTTATAATGGTTTAACACTTAATTAGTTTTACACTGTGTGTCATTTCCACTGTTTGTATGTGTGTACAAATATGTCAAATATGTTTAGTCAACTGTAAATTGAAATGCTTCAGTAAATGTAACTGTATTGCAAAAAATTAACACAGCTCTAATTGTCTTAATCAAATTTATGTTGTGGCCTAGTAAGTGGGTTTATGTTATGTACATAACAGTTGAAGCATGCATGCTCTATTTACAACAATCAAATGAAAACATTGTGATTTTTTAAAATAAAATAATATCAGTATTGTTCTGATAAAACTGAGTGTCATTTTAAACACATTCAACAAACTAGTTTTAGAAAAGCAATAACTTTCACTCTAAAATAATAACAAATAAAATTGTCTTCACCATTTCTTAGGGAATGTACCTACATATTGGATCAAAATATGTTGTTTAACAACATAAACACTAATGAAAAATACCACGCAGTCGTAAAAAATACATTAATTTGTTATCGTATTGAGTAATTTATGCCTAGTGCAACTTAATTATAATAATAATTGACTCACTCTGATTATCGCTCGCTGGTGAAGTAACATCTGGATCACGCTTTTTCTCCTCAAATATAGCATACTTTTCACGGCAACCATCATCCCCGAACATATAAAAATTGGACCCACTAGCCACATGTGTCCCAAATTGCTGAGGATATACCCGTCAGCGTCTCCAAGAGCTAACACTGTTATCATAGTGCCCACCGAAAATAACACCATTGATAGCACAAAATAAGAATAGCTCGTGCAGTCACATCGCCCAAATCTTTGATCTTCATCAAAATCATAATCACGACGCCTCAGTCTATGTAAACGTTGCCGAATGAAAGGGCTATCGAACACGGTAGCCATTTTATTATATATTTCTGTACACTGTTCACAATCAACACATATTTTGTATTCGAGATACTTAACCGTTTAGAAAAAGTACGTGGAGATCACTTTCTTACTTTGGAAAGTGTGTGAAAAATAGCGACCTTTGCAAACCTTAATAAAAACAAGTCTGCCACAATCTTCACTCTTGGCAATAGACTACATTAGTGAGGCGCTTATGTTTTGACACAGATAATAAATAGTAGCCCGCCAAGCCAAAGTTAGGCAATAAGTCATTAGGCTAGTCATTACATTAGTTGGAATAATATTTTAAAAGAATTTTGTAAAATAGTAATTTAACAGTTCGGGTTTTTTTAGTTCATGGACCTAATTAATTCGAATATTTTGAGATATAGCATAGAATCGATAACGATTTCTAAATTAATTTATGATAGTCGATTTGTTACATAGTAATGATTATCTATACCCATTGAGATAGAAAATATATAGAGGCGCCGTGTTACTATAGAAGTATACATGCTTATACAAATATGAGGGAAATATGAAACAAACTATGAAATATCATTTTGTCTCACTCTTTCTAAGGCAATAATTGTATTAGACAAAAGGGACAACAATATTTAAGTTGTTGCTTATTATGGAAACAAATCATTTTGACATTAGCAAAGTTGTAGGTAAGTGCCATGTCCGCCATCTTAAGCGCTCAGAGTACCTGAGTTTCATGGTAGTTGTCCTGTCAAACGGTTGTTTATGTTTTAAATTATTGCGGTTTTTCAGTAAATTACAAAGAACCACTTTTTTAAACTTCAAATATATATAGTGAAACAAAAAAACAATATGCCTGTGTGTTGTATTGTGCAGTGTGGTGCAAAAAAGAACGAAAATCAACCTCAATTGTCTTTGTATAGGTTAGTAAACAGTTTTCATCAAATATTACTTTGAATAATCCACATAGATAGAAAAAAATGTCACGGATACTTTAATCTATTGCCAAAGTATATATATTTACTTTTATTTCTGTCTGTGAGACAGTTTTAAGAAAAAATTGTTGTTTACAATAATATGTCAATATGGCATAGTTACGTACCATTTCACAAAAGTATCGATTTAATCTCCCATTTAAAATTCAACATATAAATATCTAAATAATCTATTTTAACAATGGATGTTTCCGCAGTTTTGTGTAACGCTAAAGTAAGTGAAGGAGTGTGATACTACGTAGGTACACTCCTTCACAGAGTAGCTCTTGGAAGAAAAATTCATAAAGATATATTATAGGATATTAGTAAAAACACACTTGACAGAACACATATTTATTACTTTACGTTCTCTTGTCAACACAAAAAAAAAAAAAATTCAAAATACTATCATAAAATGCATAGAGATTAAAAAAAGGTCGCAATACTCTTGCTCTAACACTCCTCCTTAATCTCATGCATATGATATGTACACACACATCTTTACTTTATACACGCAATCCCATACCATTCACACACCACTCATACTTGCCTCTGGGGAGAGCCTTGGTCAGAGCATCTGCTACCATCTTATCTGTTTCCCGATACTCCAATTTTATAGCTCCCGACTCAACAGCATTGCGTATAAAATGATATCTCACATCAACATGTTTTGTACGTTGGTGATGTACAGGATTATTGGCTATAGCAATTGCTGACTGGCTGTCTGAGAAAATCCGAATTGTTTCTTCCTGTTTACCAGTCATCTCTGCAATCAGCCTTTTGAGAAAGACAGCTTCTTTTGCAGCTTCTGATAGCGACACGTATTCTGCTTCGGCTGTGCTCATAGCCACCGTTCGTTGTTTCGTGCTTTGCCAAGAAACTGCACCTCCTTGAATAAGGAACACGGAACCTGAATATGAACGTCGATCAGCGTCTCCTGCATAATCGGCATCCGCGTAACCAACAACAACTTCTGGGTATTTTTGTTTGTTGTATGTCAACCCAAGCGTCTTGCTTCCTTTCAGGTAACGGAGGATTCGCTTTGCTACAATCCAATGTTGTTCCTCATAGCATTCATTGAACTGGCTAAGATAATTAACCACATGAGCAATGTCAGGCCTTGTACATACTGCTACATACATGAGCGAACCTATCAGTGCTCGATATGGAATTCTCTCATCTGGTCTCCTTCCATGTGTAGGCTTCTCTAGCCGTTGACCGGGTACTGCTGGTGTAACTACTGGTTTGCAGTCTTCCATATTAAATGCCTTCAGGAGTCCATCAATATACTTCTCCTGATGCAGTTTAATTTTGTTGACATCTTGAACAATATTAATTCCCAGCATTAACTCAGCTTTGCCGAGATCTTTCATATCAAATCTAGACTTCAACTCTTCTTTGAATTTGGACATCTCTTGCTTATTGTTCCAAAATATCAAAATGTCATCTACATACACAGCAATAATCATTATGTTTCCATTCTGTGACCGGGTGTAAACGCATGGCTCATTTTCAGATCTTCTGAACTTCAGTCTTATAAGTTCAGAGTGAAGCTTTGCGTTCCACGCTCGTGGCGCTTGTTTCAGTCCATACAAAGATTTTTGTAGAAGACAGACATAATTCTCCTTGCCCTTTACCTCGAACCCCTCTGGTTGCTTCATATAGACGATTTCATTTAAGTCTCCATTCAAAAATGCCGTTTTAACGTCCATTTGATCTATGCCTAACTCTAAACGGGCGGCTAAGGCTATTAAGACTCTTAATGAGCTATGTCTGACTACAGGCGAAAAAGTTTCAAAGTAGTCGACTCCTCTCCGTTGGCTGAATCCTCTTGCTACAAGTCGTGCCTTATAACGAGTCTTTCCCCCCGCCTCTTCTTTAATTCGAAATAACCATTTCGAATCAACAATGTTGCACGACTTTGGCTGCTTCACCAACGTCCAAGTTTTATTCTTCTCGAGGGCTCTCAGCTCCTCCTCAATTGCGGCTTTCCATTTGTCTCCATCTTCTCTAGATAATGCATCCTGAACAGTTAAAGGGTCTGGCGATGCCTTGACTGCTTGGTAAGTTACAAAATCTGGATATGCTTTTGGTATTCTTTCTCGAAGCGGATATCTTCTATCTGATGGCCCATTGTCATTTACTGGTAGCTCTCTACCTTCTTCTACAAGACCATCCTCAGGATCTGCTTCATTCCCCTCGTCAGATGATTCCCAAACCTCATCTTCAACCTCAACATTCTCAAGAGCTGGATTTCCAGGTTCTTCAGGAATTTCTGGCTCTTCATGATGAGTTGAAACTCTATCATACTCAACCGTAACATCCGTCAGCGGTAGCGGGACGGCTTGATTAACGGGAGCACGTAGCTGTACTTTTGAGTTTTCAAAAAATATAACATCTCTACCTCTGTGCAACACTCCTGTCGTAGGGTTAATAAGGCGATAACCGTTTTCGCCATATCCAACATGGACTAACTCTGTGCCCTTAGGATCCCATTTTGTGCGCTTCTGATCTGGAACATGAAGATAAGCTTTACATCCAAACACTCTGAGGTGGCTTAAGTTCACTTTTCTTCCAGTCCAAGCTTCTTCGGGCGTTTTGTTTCTCAAGGCTTTAGTTGGAGACCTATTTTTTAAATACACGGCGGTGTTGACTGCCTCTGCCCACAATTTTCTGCCTAAACCAGCTTCTTCTAACATTGTCCTGGCTTTTTCAGTGATAGTTCTGTTAGCTCGCTCAGCAACTCCGTTTTGTTCGGGTGTATACTCTATTGTCAGTTGGTGACAGATCCCTTTTGCTTTACAGAACTCATCCATACGCTTATTGACAAACTCTTTGCCATTATCAGATCTGATAATTTTAAATTTCTTTCCAGTTTGACGTTCAGTAAGTTTTACGAATTCGGCAAACTTCTCAAAGACCTCTCCTTTACTTTTCAAGAAATATACAAATGTTTTTCTAGTGAAATCATCAATGAATGTGAGAAAATATCGTGAGCCTCCGTACGACTTCTCTCTCATGGGTCCGCACACGTCTGTGTGGACTAACCCTAAGACCTCACTTGCCCTAGTGGCACCAGTTTTCTTGAAAGGGTTCTTGGTCTGTTTTCCTACTGCACACGCTTCGCACTCTAGCTTAGAAGCAGTATTAGAAAAACTTACCCCATCTGCCATTTTGTTTTTAAGTAACATTAGGTTCCGTACCCCTAGATGTCCCATTCGCCTATGCCACAATATTATTTCGTCAGCAGCGGTTGAAGCTAGACCTACTTCCTGTGAACAATACTGTATTTTATAGACACCGTTATTTGCAGTACCTTCATACAAGGTCTCCCCGGAAACCTTACATCCATCTGCTTTGATTATCTTAAAGCCAGATTTCTCAAATACAACTACAAGGTTTTTATTTACAATTGTGCTAACACTGAGTAAATTTGTAGCTAAGTTAGGTACATACAAAACATTATTAATTGAGACGTCCATATCCTCGTTGACTACATTACCAATTGCTTCACCAACCACAGTTTCTCCATTTGCACAAGCTATTACAATTGATTTGTCTAATTTCTTAAAGTCTTTAAGCCAATCTCTCCGATTTGTCATGTGGTTAGAAGCTCCGGAGTCGAGAATCCATTCTCCATGTCCTTGTGCTGCTGTTGCTAACGCTAATGAGGTTAAGGCATCCTTCTTTTGAATAGGGTTTTTCGGACAATCCTTAGCCTTATGGTTCTCTTTGCATATGAAGCACTTAACGACACGTGATCTACTCATATTCTTGTGTGACTTATCTTTCTGACTTTTATTTTTAGCTTGTAATGCGGTTGTCACGGTACTAGGACTTGCTTGATAAGTATCCTCCATCTGAAGTAATTTCGTTTTGACGTAATCTGTAGTCAATTCTATGTTTGTGTTTTCTATTGCTAACCTCATGGGTTGGAAAGTCTCTGTGAACCCCTGTAGCATCAACGCTGCAAGTAATTCATCATCTACCTTTTTGCCCAGATCACGTAGCTGTTGCGCTACTGTCATTATGGCAGTTATGTAGTCTCTGATTGAAGAAAATTGCTCTAGTTTCAGGCTCACCAACTTTGTAAGAAGTCTGCATCGATTATTCAGGCCCTTGTCTTCAAAGGCAGTCTTCAGGGCATCCCATGCCGCTTTTGCAGTCTTCGATTCACGTACGTGTATCAAACAATGTGGTTTAATCATTAAACAGATTTTTGCCCTCGCTTTCTGATCTCTTTTAGAGCCGGAAACATCACTAGCAGCTGGTGTTGTTTGAGTGTATTCCCACAAGTCTTCATGAATTAGATAAAGTTCCATCATGAACTTCCATGTATTATAATCAGTACTACCATCAAGTTTCTCTATTGCTGGTAAACTCATACTTACTCCTTGGGATGGATACGATTGTGATTGTATATGCGTACCATTGCCGCTGCTCCCAGAGTTATTCATGATCGTACTTTCTATTTCCGCTGGTGATCATAACCTGAAGGAGTGTGATACTACGTAGGTACACTCCTTCACAGAGTAGCTCTTGGAAGAAAAATTCATAAAGATATATTATAGGATATTAGTAAAAACACACTTGACAGAACACATATTTATTACTTTACGTTCTCTTGTCAACACAAAAAAAAAAATTCAAAATACTATCATAAAATGCATAGAGATTAAAAAAAGGTCGCAATACTCTTGCTCTAACAGTAAGACGTCAGTATTTTGGTATTGGTTTTAGTTACATAAGTAGAAGTTCAAATTATCATGTTTTATAATTATACGGGCGCGATTGACAGAGCGGCGTTGGCGACGATCCCAGTGCGACCACCAAGCGTAATAATAAAAAGTGAGATACATACAATAAGATTGACTTCACTACATATCTATTTTGTGCTAACGTAGTTTCGAAGATATCATCGCTTAATCAGACGCGCCGAAATTGTGCGCGAGCACTTCACAAATACCCACAGGTTTTCCACATATATAAAGATAAACATTTAACAAACACTATCTTTTTCTATTTCACCATTCCATTAAACGCTGTTCATAAACACAGTCCTATTTTTTTAAAAGACGCTTTACGTAGAATTATATGAATACAAATTCGACTTGAGAAAATCATTAGCCAATCAAGAGACCAAGTTAACCCCGGGTTCCGGGCTCTAGCTAGGCCGACGGCAAAGTAGGAACAGGAGTTGATTTTAGTCAGTAACGGTCTGTCCCGAAAAAGGCCGGAGATGACATTAGATGATTTCCCATAAAAAAATACCGTTAATCAGCTGGCTAATCCCTAAAACTATACCTACGTCGAACGTTTACTCAAATTGTATCGATACTCGTTAAATACTTAGTCGGCACAACCCTAGCAACGGCAGCCATCTTATGCGACATTTTGGATTGTAGGTAGGCACCTTTTTTTCGTAGGTATTTCAAGTCCATATATTTCCTATGTCAATGTCTATACCTCTCAATGTGACATTTCTTGACAAAACAATAGTTCTGTCAAAGTGAAGTCAAGTCAAGAGTCAAATTGTCAATGAAACGCAAACGTTCATGTTTTTGTGACGACGTACATTTTGATTATTAACTATAATTTGTTGTAAAAAATTTACTTGCTTTTGCTTGTTGCATTACGAGTTCTTCAAGAAGATTCTTTAGAATTCAAAAGGGTTGCTATGTTCTCTGAGTGATTTTTAAGTGGTGATTATTTCTTTCGATATGGGGCCTTTCATTTTATTTATCGTGGCATTTATCTTAGAAACGGGTACGTAAATTGTTGTGTTATTTTGGTATGGATATGATGATGGTAAATGGTTGATTGTTTACAATAATCTATTTGACTTTGTAGGTGTGTCAGCAATACAGGTGTCTTTGTCGGACAATGGGCCTGCGGTGCGAGGTGCTGCTGTAACATTTACAGCTAATATTACTTCAGGATACACAGGAGAAAATTTAAAATTTGTGTTTTCTGATAGCGCGACTCCACAGCACAGTCAAGAGGTATGCATCTAATTAACTAATTACAAAAAGATCATGTTGTTTAAATTAACTAACTGGTTATCAAAATACTGATTGTTCTCACACTGACAATGTTGGTATATTTTTATTTGTATCACACTGTTACATACTTCCTTCCTTTTCAAAGTACCTATAATATATATGACACATTTTATCTATAGTTCTAGATGAGCATAAAAGATTAGCTAGATTACACTGAAAAGTCATGGCAAATGAAGTGAAGGCAAATTATTAATTGGATTATTTTTCTGTACTTATCTAAGATTGCTAAATAAACACTTAAAAAACATTAAGATGTTTTGAGCAGAGTTAAATTATGAATAAAATATCTACCTGCTTAGTTTAAAGTTTGAATTCTTCATAGCATATTTCAATATTGGTATATGTAGGTCTGAGAGTAAAATATGAGTAACAAGCAAAGATTCTATTGGGCCCATTAGTGAGGTATATTGCCATGTCACTAATCTTGTACAGCCAGTAATCATAATCATTGTAATATTATTAATCAATATAAATAGTTGTATAAACATTTAAATTTACCTGTATAATTGTAATCTGTCTGTCAGGCATGGTGATATAGCAAACATTCTTTAAGCTTTGGCTATTTTGTTATGGCTTCTGATGGAAATCAATCTTCACATTGCCTGCTTTTTGGGGTTTTCTTAGAAATTTTAAAAGTTAGGCCTCCAGTAACATTACTCACATACTTAGTAAAATTCTCCTATTGAGCTGGCCCATATGTGCCAAAACATAAAAATTTCTCTTCTACACTGAAATCTCTTATGGGGATAACTATAGGCTGGTAGTTTTTTCAAAGTGAAAGTCAATCATTTATTTCAATTAGACCACAGTAGGCACTTTTGAATATTTAGCAAAAAAAAGGAAAATAGTATTTCAAGAACTTTAACTTTAAGTGTATCAGTCTGTCCGTCTATCCTCTAGTGAAGCTAGTTGCTTGTTCCAAAGTGTTTAAGATTCCTATGGAGAAGAACAAGCAAGAAACTCTTTAAGTACTCTTTTAAAATCTTTATAATTAATTTATTTGTTACATCATTTAGTCATTTCTGATATGTGAGAAGAGTTTTTCTTCTCCTTAAATTAATTATTGGTGATAGTTGGTCTTACTTGTGGTAGTTTTATTAAAAAACAAAATCTTTTATACACACATATAAGGGTTAATTTAATGCTTATTTATTTTTTTGCTATATTGTTCTATGTTTTACTACTAGAGAGTATAGTAGCTTGTCATGCCATTTTTAAATAACAATTTCGTCATTTTCTATTTATTACCCTACTCAATGTGGAAAAATGAAGGTAAACAAGTACAACTGTATAGTTTGGATATCCCTACCATGTTTTCCTGATGGCAAGTCTTAATTTGTATTTTTCCATTTTATTATATAATATATATATGTTTCTCTTCAACAACAAATAAGTATTTATGAAACCACATAAATGTATATGTATAATTTGAAATATAAAAACTATTTTTTATAGTTTATGGTCTACTTTTAAAATGCAATTTCTTTCATAACTGATGTAACATAAAAAAATATTATACACTTTTTTGTTTATAAATGTTTACTAGCTCCTCTCCGGCGGTTTCACTCGCTGCTCGGCTTCTACAAATTGAAGCGAGCGAAATCCTTCCTCGATAAATGGACTAACAAACACAAAAAGACTTATTCAATTCGAAACCAACAGTTCTAGATGTTAGCACATTCAAGCAAACAAGAAACTCCAGCTTTATAATATTAGTCTAGATTTTGTCTGAGGAGATTATGTTCTGGTTTTGCACCAACTGCTTGATTTCTTTGCACCACCCAATGGTTGAATGTTACAGAATGTGTTAAAGCCATTATCTAAGTCCACCAATCACTATGTTTATTGTGTGAGGGAGAAAGAAATAAATAACACAACCAGCAAGTCTTTTCATTCATAAATCACGATATCACCACATAGTACAAAACAGAGTAGAGAGTTATTATACAGAGTCTTTGAAAAGGTGAGAATACGGTAGTTTCCAACCAGACAAATTCAATACTTTTATCCAAATGTCAAAAACGTTAATTTTTTATGAAATTTGTATGAAAAACTGAGTTATGACGTCATAGTTTTTTACGTCAAATAGCTTACTTATTTCTTAAAAATTAGCTAAAAACATCTAAAATTCAGTGTATCGATCGGTTGATGAATAAAATTATAGGTATTTTTCAATATTTTATGGTATTGAAACGTCGAATTAATTTATTTTTGACCTAGGAAACTACCGAATTACGTGTACTTATAATAACATCCTTTAAATGGTGGCGCAAAGTATCACCAATGTTAAATTGGTTGGGGTCGTAAGTTAAATATAAAATACTGTGTTATCGATTTTAAATTTTGCATTCGTATCTATCTAAAATTCTTGGACTAAGATCAATAGATAAGTTTCATGCTTAGCTATCATTATTCAACTGTTGCCTTTTTCTATGAAATAATTCCTTAAATTTTCCTTATAACGTGGTATGTTTAACATTTTTTACAGTCATTGAACCATTGCTGCAGTCAGCCTTGAGTGATATCTCACATTTACATGAACACAGGACGTCGGCTGATACAGACGAACCGTGTATTTGAGTCATTGCTGCTAAATTGGGCTATCATCAATTTAATTAATCTAATTACGTCTCTGTCTTTAGTAAACTATATCTAATTTCATTTCGTCACAGTCCAAAATTATTTTGATTTTCTAGTGCTTAGATTGTTTCATTTTTGAGATGGATAGATTTTCTGTAGAATTTATTATTAACTAGCGACCCGCCCCGGCTTCGCACGGGTACAAAATTCCTCCACCATTTAATGGACGTTATTGTAGTTATATCTATTAAAAAAACGCATCAAAATACATTGCGTAATTTTGATAATAAAGAGGGAAAGAAAAAGTGACTTTGATTGAGGTAAGTATACTAAGTAGTGATTAAACTAGAACTTTTTAACTAAGACCAAGTTACACAATTTGGGTGTTCAATCATCCTTATACTTTTTCGTGTACTTGTGCACCTAGTATTTGCAATGTATTTCTATCTATTGAAGTTGCTATATCTGCATGCCAAAGGGATGCATAGACCTTGCGATCTGAACTATTGCTGCAAGCCTCCGGCCTGATGAAACTGAAAGTCGCCATAGGCACGGAAAGTACGTCTTATAGTATATCGTGTTCTTAGAAAGTTGGATATAATCACTCTGTGACTGAAATTATCCGTGTCGCATTAGTGTTGGACCTCAACTTTCGTGTTAACGTAATTCCTACAATTACTTTCACAGTATCTCATTTGATTGCGGTGTTGGTTATATTTGATACGTTGATTACTTAGTTTATGTCCTCTTATTTCTTATTAGATAACTCCCAACGTTATACATATTTGGATAAGATCATAAAATATTTATTAAAAAAATACTAGACCCTAATCGTAAAATTATTGAATGTGTGTGTGATTGTTACATTGTACTTGTACCTATAATGTGTCTTTAAATTGATTTTTTGTCAGATGCGTTTTAGCAAATACCCATATTTCTGGATCGAATATATACCTACAGTCACTATAGGTAGGTATATTCAGATGAATCAGGGTTACACACGCTAAACCAAAGGCAAAACTATCATAATACGTACGCAGCATGACTAACTATTCATATGGCGATAAGCTAGCAATTACAATGGCATGTAAATGTCAACTGAGATTCTCGAATTTCAAATGTTAAAGGCCTGTTTTACTATGCCAAAGCCAGAATTTGAATATAGAACGTTATTTGTATTTATAACCTATTTGCGTCGTACTAGTATGAAGGTGATGAAACAGGCCCTTAACAATAACAGATAACACACCATCTCTTCCTTCTCGTGTGCTTTTGAAGTCATGTCCCAATCTCAATCAGTTCTTGTATCATCGTCAGTCGATGTAACTAATTCAATCTATTTACTGGATCATGTCCGAGTTTTTATGTCCAAAGAGATATATGTTTGGGGTATAGGTACAATTTGGGTGAATGATTAGGTTGCTTGCACTCGGGACGTTTGCATCGTTGCAGGATCGATGGCTGCAGTTTAGGTACGTCGTAAAAGAATCTTGAACATTCATCCTGTAATTTGGCTCTTATTCCGCACCTATAGCAAATTACCTGTTCCGAATTGTTAGCCTAGTTAGACCATATGTTCATTTGACCATAATCACATTGCTTGAAATCCACATCGGATCAAGAGATGTGGATTTCAAGCCACGTGAAAGCCAAGCTCCAAGCTCCGCTTCGCCTCAATGGAACTGCACCCTAACAACCTGCTCGAAGAACGGTAATAAGCTCACAACCCTAATATAAAACTTTGTTTCAGATTATTAGCCCGAATCAAACGGTAAACTTTACAGTTGAGTATTACCGCGACATTTATGAAGCGAACCAATACGAGGTTAATTTGGAAGTGAAGAAAAATTATTTTGAAAGTCTATGGTGGACCGTCGCAACAGCTTTTACGGCGTTTAATCTAACAGGTATGTGTGTGTTTTATAATTAGTATCTAATATTAATATTCTTACATAATGCTACATAGTGTGTAAGGTATGCATTAGTTTTCGTGACTTAGACGAAAAAACACCAACTACAATAAAACAAAAATGCTTACATAACTACACAACTTTTCGCTTTCCGACCTATTTGTAATACAAGTTTTTGTACCAGTTCTTTACGAACCTTATGCCTTAATCGAGGGTAATCTTAAAAATTAAAAAAAAAACTTAATACTCCGGCGACTAATGCCCGGTTCCTATATTTAACGAATCGTCGTTGTATACGCATTACGACTCAATGACATTACGAATAGTTATCTTGACCGTCTACTGACGGTTAAAATATTTATAGCAACACCACAGACACCATAGATCTCCATACAATTCGCTTACCGACATCCGATAGTTGCAAACCGTCAGTAAGTTGCACGACGAGACGTTTGTTATAGGAACGGTTTTAGCTTACGAGTCGTAGATAAAACTACTATTCGTAACTAAAACGGATCGTTTGTCAATTATAGGAACCGGGCATTAATCAACACCAACGATAGTTAAATGTTTGCAACTAATACTAGGTATAATTATTTATACGAAACATTATCATTATTACATTATCTTTAGTCAATGTTAGATCATGACTAGTTGTCTTATTATAAACATCAAACTATAGTAACTAGTCACACTGCTGATTACAATATTTTGCACAAACACATACAGGTAAGTATCCGAGTGTCGTATAAGTGAAGCCGTTACATAGTCGAATTTATTTATTTTTTTGTGAGGGGAAAATCATTAAATCACTTCTCCCGCCCAGGGCCGGGCGGGAGGGAGTGTCAGACTCTTACTGACTAAAAACCCCCTGTTCCTTCTGCTCTGGGCCGAGGTCGCGGTGCTTCATTGCACTTACCCCGCAATCCCGGCTGTACATAGTCTAATTGAATGCACATCACTATATTTTATTACATTGAGATTTCTTTAAATATGTTTTCGATCGTTTATACATTAATTAATTACTCATAATAAAAACAATATGTGAATTAATGTTATTTTTACGCCCCGATATGAGGTTGTTCAACTAAATGTGTTTCACTGAGATGTTGATAATGCATTTCAATTCGTGTGTTATTAACAATTAAGTGGTTTTGAATTATTATTGTAATCGTTGTGGGTTGCGTGTTACGTACGTAACACAATCAAATGTAGACATAGACAATTTCTGTTAATTTCTGCTAGTTAATTAGTTTCTTTTATGCTTCGAAGGACTATAAATTGTTTTAGTAGAATAAACAGAATTTGGCGTTTGGAAATCCGATAGAGTATCCAAACTCTAAAATAAATTATAAAATACGTTCCATTTCAATTTAAAATAAAATAACGTATTCCCTTTGACGAGTGGCACCGACTGAATTCTGTTTAAAATCATAGAACATATCAAATATGTCTACCGATAGCAGCCAGCATTAATAAAATATTGTGTGGATATTAAACCTCTAACACAATTACACTAAAATTGTTTAACCTCTTGTCTGCCAATATATGAGACACAATAGGAAACACGTTGTTTCGCGTATATCCGCGGATTACAGGGCCTCTTGCGAGTTGGCTCCTCGCACGCCTTCCAAGGGCTAATATATCTTTGCAATTAATGGATTGCATAGATATTTTAACTGGGCATTGTATAGTACCCAGAGATCAGTTATTTTTGCAGATTTCAGCAGAATACCATAACATCTAAAAATGTAACACAATCAGAAACCAGACCACTTGACTGTGCATGATAATGGCAATGTCAAACACCAATACACCACAATCATGTTGATAAATGTAAATAGTCTGCGTGTAATTGTAAACATTATGCCGTTGTATAATATTACATACACAAAACGTAACTGGGAGAGATTTCTGAAGAAATAAGCTGTGCCTAGTTGTTGTATTATTCTTCTTTTCTAACTAAGTATTATAAGTATGTACATAAACTATAAAATAAGTAAATAAATTCAATGATTTTCGTTTTCCAAAATGGACATCCAAAGAGTTAAACAAACCTTATAAAACTATTGACACTTTTTTGATAGCTATAACTCCTACATGCCAGGATCAACTACAGTATAGATCAACTGCAACATTAATTTATTTTGTAGTCATTATTTGGTAAAATACTCCATGCGTTCCCGAGACATGAACAAAGAAAAGGTCTTTAAAGATAGGAAAGAGCTTCCATTTACCATAAGTAAAACAAAATATTGTAATAGTTGTAGTTGTTCTACTTATAAAAAATGTACGTGACTGTAAATCACATTTTTGATTCCATAAGGAAATATGTAAAGTATTGGAACGATTATGTCAAGAATGTCAACCGGGTTTAGTATCAACCGGGTCGTTAGACTTCCAAGTGATCCAATTAGCGCAACCGGGATAATCCTACAGGACCTCGTTACTTTCGGAAATCGATATGATCGCGGTTACCAAGCGCTGTCTAGGCGTAAGGATCGTATAACGTTATTTCGTATTCATATACCGCAATCCAGCGATGGCAAACCTTAAAAATCAAAGTGTCATTTTTAAGGAAATTTTATGTCATAATGTAGGAATCAAATAATTTTGTGCTTTACTATGTACTGCCTAGTGCACTAACTTTCATTAGCAACTAGGATTATGGGTCCCCTGATGATCTTAGACTAATTAGAGCCACACTTTTTATGATGATTCAGACACCACTGACATACGGTAAAGGGAAACAACGTGAGGCAACCTGGACGTTCTAATTATAAGTTTGAAATCGCCAATCCGCCTTGAATAAGAGTGATTAATGCTCAAACCATCTTCTCAAGAAGAGGTCTTTTCTCTGACTGGCTGCTTATAGATAGGCTAATGATGTGATGTGATGGTGATCATAGCCTAAGTATACCTGCAATACCAAAGACATCAGAAGTGCCATAACACGGGCTGTATAGTAGATACTGTAATCAACGATGTGTTTAAATGGCACGTATGCCAACGCCGATAGTTCGCCATCCCTGCCCTTGCCGTAGGCCACATGAGATAAATTGCGAAAGACACTTGATAATGTTTCGCTTACAACCGCTATGTAGTTATTTATTAGACGTCTTAGTATCTAGACATTACGGTTACGCTTGAAAGTTATGAGCGTTTAATAAGCAGATTTTAAATTGGTTTATTAATGCTATAAAACGTTCTAATGAAGATGCTGATCATAAATGTTCGTGTTATAATTAGTAGCTGGATGCATCTATGTATTAGTTTTGTTTGGTATCCAAATTAATTAGCAGTTTTACCTCGTCCTGAACCGAAGCAGGAGAAGGACCGGGGAGGATTTTTAGTCAGTAGTTTCTCCTATGTGTATAGCCATTTGGTTAGCTTTCGAACGTATATAAAGGCATGTGCAAAGCTACTGTTGCTGCTGGGTATCCGGTTCTGGTTAACTGGAAACCGGAGCGTGTGAAGAGGCACAAATAAGCGTTCAAACACTAAACTAAAAATATAAACTAATAAGATACCGTAATACGTAGAAAACTGAAAAAGCGTAAACAGATTTTCAAAAATGTTATTATTAAATAAAAGAGTTTTTAAAGTCGAGATTAAAATAACGTCTTTTTTCTTTTCAAAAGTAGCAATCTGTCTATCCTATTAATATTGGTGCATTCGAATACAATTATGACATAAATATTGCTAAAGATGGTTTGACATTTCACTTTACTCTATCTATAATATCGTAATTGAATTTATATCTGTGACATACCTAAACATCGATTAATTATTCTATTAAATTAAATTGAATATAATTGACATTTAATTTTGTCATTAGTCATTACATATTTCTGTAATCTTGTTTTAATACTACTTGATCTATGATATTAAGATTCGATTTCTAATTTATGGTGATTTAGGATGGTGATTATTGCAATGCTTGTTTTTGCTGTTTAGTCTTAAGTAACTTATCATACTTAACACCAATTTTGTACACTTACACCCGGTTTCTGAAAGGCTTGTCAACACTAAAATTAACAAATCGCCTGTTAAATCTCTTGTCAAGTCATCTGATTGGTTGTTGATAATTCAGTCAACCAATCAGATGACTTGACACGAGATTAAATTGATTTTAACATTGATCGGCCTTTCGGAAACCGGGGGTAAGTTTGACTTCATAATATCCAAGTCGCCAAAATTAAATACTGAACTATACTTGAACTTCTCCGCTGTTACGGGTGGCCATAGGTAACGGTTTGCTTAAAATTAGGTAATAAGTCACGAGTCAGCTCCTTTACAGCCCTCTTCTACAAATAAGCATAAGATTTATAAAACGCATTAAATGCTTGACATTTTACCAAAGCATTCGGAAGTTGTTACCTACTATCAACTACCTTAAAAAGTTGATAGAGCCTGCGTTTCATCTATACTAATATAATATTATAAAGAGGTAAAACTTGTAATATTTGGAACCGCTCTGGTCGGATTTCCAAAATTGTTTTACCATCAGTATACATGTTCCTGAGTGCAATAGGCTATAAATTATTTTTGTATTTTAGTGCAGCTATCCCTTTAAATTCTCATGTTTTTAAAAATCCGAGATACAGTACATACTCGTATACTCGTGCGAAGCCGCGGGCGGAAGCCAGTGTATCATATAACGTGTCTCACATTCACTTTCTTTATTGAACGTCTAACCTAGATAGATAGTTCCGCTGTAAAGACTATCTATCGATTGAAATACAACCTCTTTTGTGTTTTTTTTATATAAATTGTCATAGACTGCATTAGTCTCGTTTTTTTTTGTGTTTCTGTAATCGATTATGCAATGATTAGATACTTTGTCAAGTTCATAATAAGGAAACGCAACAAAACAATTTTATAACTACATCTTATCCTACAAGTTATCATCAATTTTAACTAATTTTAGCTCATAAAAATCATAACAAATATAATTATACGACTAAACCTTTCAGGGATCACATTATCGTTTAATGAAAACCATATAAAAATCTGTGTAGATGTTTTTAAGATCACCACGTCCAGACGCGACGGTTTATGTCTGGTTGGAGTGTTTATCGTAAATACATTGCTAATTACTTTCTCTGAAAAATAAACTCTAAAAGTTATCTATCAAGTAAGGCAAACGAGTTATTAGTTTTTTAAATTACTTTACTTACACGGTAGAATAATTGGTATTTGCATTGTTTATAGTATAACTAATTAACGTGACAGTTAGTTATGTCCCTGGGACGGGCCGGACATCAGTGTTTCGGTGTTCTCATGGTTAAATCTACTGTAGATCCTGGCCCACAAGTCAGTGGGCATGTAGCATTAAAAAAAATTATAAATGGTTTCCATTCCATGTAACAAATAAATATATTTTAACAAGCAAATAGTTTGACATATATATGTATTATAATAATAATGTTTTTCCAATGTACCTAATTAATTTATTAAAATCTTCCTTAATTAGTACCTCGTATGTACTCGTTATATGCAACTTCGTAATGGAAATAGTCTCATTGTAGTTTTTATTTGCGTTTAGTTTATTATAATTCTGATATATCGGACTAGGTGTGATTTGTATGTAAAAAATGCTAAATGTATTTATTCCTTCACCTTATTAATTTAAGATTTTTTTTTACAAACCATGCTCAAGAGTTGAAATAAGAATTTTAACTGTGAGAGAGCCATTCTTCAGCATCAATAGGTTGGCTCGACCGCAGTGATACCCACGGCCTTAGGTGTTCATGGTACAACGCGGCCTCGGCCTAGACCAGGAGAAGGAACGGGGTTTAGTCACTAAGAGTCTTGATACTCCCTCTTGGCTCTACCCTGGGCGAGAGAAGTCATGATTTTCCCCTCACAAAAGAGGTGCCTATGGGCGGAACTGATTACTTACCATCAGGTAATCCGTATGGTCGTTTATCGTCCTATAACATAAAAAAATAATTTTATAGTTTTATTACATATTGTATCAATCCGCCACCCCTTTACACCCAACTAACTACTTCCGCGGTTTCACGCGCCGCTCCCAAAGCTCGTAGCTAGTTTTATAGCCTTCATCGATAAATGGACTAGCCGGGACGACAAAATGTTTGAAATAGTTGCCACAAATGAAAGTCAATATTTATTGAAATTTACTAATATTACTTTGTTATACCTATAGAGTTAAAAAATTGGATTATTCATAAGTTTAAATGTATAAAAGAACAAGGGGCTATATATTTGCAACATTGAGTGTTTAACTCAATGAATTGTTTTCGAAGACAGATAACCTGTTAAGACCCCTTTTCTCAGTTCTCAAAATGTACATAAGTGGTTCTTTGACTTTTCGTATGTCTTAAACGTGGATCCACGCGAGACACAATGTATTTTCTATTGTGTCTTATAAACCGACATTCAACTGGTTAAACACAGTAAGCTGTTTAATTGAACGAATAAGGAATGTAACTTAGTTGACAAATAATGTACTTAATGTAAATAAGTTATGTTTATCAAACAGCCGCAACAACATCCCTAATTCAATAGCTATAAGTATAATAAAAGAACTAATTCATGTTACATTTTTCTTTTATAATTACGATAATTTGTTTAATGTCGTAATTAGAGAACTCGAATGAGCACACGAGCAATATTACCGTCTATTTATTTATTTATGTACACGTATCTATACTAATATTATAAAGAGGTAAAATTTGTTAGTTTGTAAGTTTGTATGTAGGGGGTAATCTTTAGAACCGCTGGTCGGATTTCCAAAATTACATTGCCCAATACAATTTCACTCATACATAGCTACAATGTTCCTGAGTGCCATAGGCTATAAAACATCACGCTACGATCAAATGAAGCCGAGCAGCTGGTGAAACCGCGCGAGAGTAGCTAGTACAATATAAATTCAGTTCAGTATGCATACAGTACAAAGGATCTACATAATATCCCTATTTTTATCTTTCCTCATCTGCATAAAAATGACAGAAAATGTAATTCATAAAACAGAAAAATCAACCAAACGAATAAAAACTAAACGAATTAGCAACGTACTTTTATTAGGGACTCGAATCAAAACCTAAATAATGTTAATAAATATAAAGATATCAGTAGAAAGGCGCCCACCACTGAACAATAATTGCGTTTCCTACTGTAACGTAGGTGCTTAATGATGACCAAGACCCTTTAATGATTAAGTCCTCTTATCTCCACAGTATAAAAGTTATGATAATCAAGCATCCCTTGACTGCAGCAGTTTTTATACAATGAAATAATGATATAACATTAAATTTACTTAAATGTTTTATTTAGAACAAAAACACTTAAATTAAAAACATACAAAATGAAGCGATGATAAGTACAAAAGTTTAACAACTGTGTCGCACCATTATGATATAAATATAATTGTAGGTATCACTGTCAGTACATGGTGTAGGTATTCCACTTTATATTGTGAGTTTCACGATGCAAACTGAAGTTATGCCGTAAATTACGATATTAATATTAATTTACCGTATAAGTCACGGCATACATACATGTTACTGATTTTACAATTACACCTGTAGGTACTAAAGCATCTGTGTAAATTATGCTTTTGTAAAAATGTACCGTGACATACGATGTCCTTTATGAAGTGAGGTGTTTGACTTCTTAATCTCATGTTCAAGTTATTGAAACTAAAAACGCCAAAATGGCGCTTCCAATCTGAGTTTTTGTACCAGTTTTCATTCGGTGTAACATGAAAAATTATACAAATTTTTATGGTATAGAATTTTAAATTAACAAATGCGTCACCTGGGTAAGAAAACGGTGCCACCCATGAATACCTTCAACACTATTATATAGCAGTTACAAGACCCATGCCGGCCGTATGGGAATTGAGGGATTTAGGAATATTGGTATTATACTAAAAAAAAAAACATTATCTATTTACAGATACACTTCACGGTGATATGATGCTGAAGCAGAACGATGCAGAGAGACCCAATAACTTCGTGGCCGTCAATACTACCGTCACTCACTTCGTAAAACTCCACGAAAGTGAACTAGAGTTCTTGAAGAAGAACGCCTCATCAATCCAAACCCACTGGTTCATAGACTGCGTCTACATAGACGCTACTTCTGACTTCTCTCTAAATTATACGTACGAAGATAATATGGGTAGTCACGAAGTAGAAGCGATAGTTGTCGCCAACAACGAACCTTTGCCACCGTTGACGACAACGACCACGACGACAACCACGACTACAACTACTACAACAACTACGACTACGACTACAACAACACTTAAACCTACGACAAGTGGTCCAACAACACCTAAAGCATCAACAACAATAGTTCCTACAAATGCTTCGTCAACTCAATCACCGACACAGTTGAATGTCACCGATGTAAACAGTACTGCACCTCACAAAGTTACTAAACGTGCCATCTCTAATAAAACTTTGAAAGGCCCAGATGGTTCGCCACTGACATGCAACAACACAATCCCAATAAGCAACGGGTACACCTTCGGAAGATACCGTCACAACATATTTGTTAGAGGTAAGTTAATATTTGATGGACACTCATATTCTCACTATCAATAATAATTATTTATTATGAAAATACTAATTAAATTATTAAAATACTAGAAATTGCAACCTACTCTTATCAGCGACGATAATATTTATGTGTCTATACTACAAATCTGGGAGGTAAAGAACAGATAAGTACTGAGTTATTAATGTTTGCTAAAACGCGATTTTGCTCGAAAAGTTGATAATAGTATAAGAATTTTCGAATAAGTCTATCAAATTAAGAGGCACTAGTTTATATGTAATTTAACACTTATTCAAGCCTTTTCTCCTTAACCATAGATATAAGGAAAATCATTTAAAATAATTCAAAACTATTTTTAGTGTTACAAAACCTATGTATTACTACAAATCGTTTATCTATACCCTGCACTTGGGCAGGTCCGGTTATTGTGTTACTTTTTTATTGCTTTCAGTGCCATATTGTTTTATTAAAACGTGCGATAGTCATGATAGCTAGTTAAATCTTTAAAAGCTGAATAACATCTAGGATTAGATCTAATTATAGGATTTCGATCTTAATTTTTATAGTTTTAATAAGAGTCATTTGATGATTACCTATATTCATTACTTAACCCAAGTCGTTAGCAACCATTTTCGGAATAAAATCGTTACTAATGAATTACAACTAGACATTCGAGGAGTCCATTCAGCTAAGAAATTGCTCTACTATTCATATTTATAGCGGCATACATATGGAGAAGGAATTGACATTTAGTAGTCCCTAAAATTATGCAATGACCAGGAGGATTGTTTTTTGTGCCCAATAAATAAATAATGATTTCCGAATTAGAAAACAATTGATTTTTTTTTTCGTGGACAACAATAAGGCACGTAAGTTTATCCTAGGAAAACCGTAAGAAAAACTTTTAACATGACACAAAAATATGTTTCTTTTTATATTTACCAAACATTGCCCTTTGTGTTATCGATAAAGTTTTGGCAAAACATAAACAAAAATGCAAAGGGAAAAATATATTAGATAATATTTTTTTTTAAATACGTCATTGGAAATTCCGGAACGCGTATTATGAACTAAAAAGAGCCTGTGATTCATATTGCAATGATCTATGCGGCAATTGCTTTATTTAATTTTCAAGAGAAAACATGTATTTTATCTATATTTTAGGTAGTTATATGTGTGTAAAAAAGTTTTCAAATTACATAAACAAAATAAATATTATGGAAATAGACTTAAATTGTTCTAAAATAAAAATGCGCCCATTGGCTAACTCAACAGCAAAAAAATTTGCACTGCAACGTTTATATATTTAATTTATAATTTAATGCTAAATTATTTAATTTTTGTACCAAATTGATCAGTCATGATTTTAGTTGATCACTAACTTACAACATATGCTAACATAACTATTTTACCACCTTACAGAGCCGATAACAACAGTGAACATAACTGGATTGAACTGGCTTCAGCACGGGGACCTTTTGAACATGAATGTGAAGTACACAGGCTCCCAACCCTTCAACTACTGCATACAGTATAAGTTAGGAGAATACAATATCACTGGAAACGAGACCTGCGCCTCGCCAATGACAACAATCGCCAATTCATTCCCTCTAGTCCATTACTTCTCAGACAGCGACAAGCATACAGTTATAGTGATTATAGAAAATGAAATAGGAAAGTCTGTTGCGAAAGCCACTATCAATATTTACAAAGGTTTGTATACATGTATTTGAACTGGTTCTTGATTTAAATTGTTAGTGAAATGGTTATTATAGTTTTAAATTGCTGTTTTACTTGTGTAATTAGTTACTTTTTAGACTTATTGCATCTTTTTCTAATCCGGTTTTCATTATAAGTGAAACAGAGATTGCCTCAATACATGTCAACGTGATCAATTACTAGTTAACCGAAACATTTTTTAACTTATCTTTACTTTTTAATTTCAACCTGCTTGCTAAGTTTCTACAACGCAGAGTAACTTCATAGTCCAACTTTTTTTATTTTACCTTAGTCTCTTGTGTTATTTTCAACCTGCTTGCTAAGCTTGGTGGTAACACAGGGGGTCCTCATAGTCCAAAGTGGGGGAGGCTCTTGATGAAATAAAAGATTATCTTGAGCTATTGATAAAGATTGTTGAAAAAAGAGACTATAGGCTTAAAATACTCAATTGGACTTATATGTTTTCAGTGTCGGTGCACGCGCAGCTGTCCGTCATTGTGATACCTGTGTTCTTCTGTCTCGTCGCCGTCATACTAGTCGTGTTTGGTATTGCATATTATCAGCATCGATCAAGGTAAGATACGTTATATTACCTCACGAAGTAGTTTTGTCTGTACAAATACTTCAGAAAGTAAATAAATTTCTTCTTTTTTCTGAAGTATTTGCTACATTTCGCATGGCATCCATTTCGATTAAGAAAAAAAACATCCTATATAACCTAGAATTTTCTGTCCGCAGTAAAGTGTTTTAAAATGATAGTGTCAGTCGTTGGCAATCTCAATTTTTTCAATAACAAAATAAAAATTGCGGAAAATCCAATAGAAGCTATTTATAATTTCAGTCTGAGAAAGAACTCACGTTCGTTATAATCATACATTTCAAATCAAAGACGTCACATTATTAATTGAATATTTATAAGTTTATAAGTCCAATGTAGGTTTCCTCATAATCTTTCCTGTAACATGCGTAGTATGGTGGTGTTATTATTAATACAGAATAATAATAATATAATGAATACATGCTAGCGGCCGTTTCCGGGGGCCCATTAATTGAGTTTGCCAGTCACCCCCTGCCTGTTTATCCGTATGTATCAATATTGGTCAGGGGCAGGGGCCATAGTATTTCCATAGTTATCATATCCACCAGTCCATAGCAACCCATATTCATAACCCTGTCAATTTTTACCACATTTCACAATAGTCTTGCATCAACCGGGGATTGTCCTTGGGTGCACTTATATAGTGCATACAGGGATAATTGCCGGCTGATGTCCCATCACATTTAGATTAAAACTGTTCAACGGGCCTCTACGAGTTGGTTTCGGCTCCTCGTACGCCTTCCAAAGGTCCGGGACCCTGTGGTGCCGTGAAAGGATAGAACAAACAAATAATGAATACTAATATCATAACGAGGAAATTAACGATTTATTTATTTGTGTTAAATCTGATCTCAAACTGGCTATTTCGGTTTAGGATACTTATTAGAGTGGTCAAATACCAGTACAAAAAAGCAAAAAAAGTAAAATGTAAAGAAAAAAAGGTTGTGTTTGTATTTTTTTAATGGTGCTTGTTATAAATTTATAATGCGTTTTGGGAACTTTAATCATGACACTAATTAAACGATTAGAATTCGTATTTTTGTTTTCGAATGAATCTAAATTCTGTCGTAATAGCGTAACAATCTGTTATTGCTGATTATAAGACTAGGGTTGCTAATAAATTATAAAACTAGGAGTTACCCTTGTATGTCAGCCATACTGGCAGTGGCAAACCACAAAAATAATAATATACCTGTCAATACTGTGGTTACTGCACTTGGCTACTACACTAGTACCCGTGATTGAAAAAAGAGCAAAAATATCCATGATCACGGTTTTACAGTTATCCTGATACTAATCCATCGATTCTGTAGGATGTTATTTTTATCAGGGTAAAACTTTACTTGATAAAAATTGTAAACCTTATCGGCCTTATTACAAAACAAGGTTTAACTTTAGTTTAGGACTAAACCATTGAGCCAGTTTTTGTATTTCGAATTGAAGGTGGATGCCAATAAGATTCCAAATTTAAAACCCGACTCAATGGTTTAAACCTGGACTAAAGATAAATCTTGTTTTGTAATAAGGGGGTATACGTTCGAAGCTAGTGTTGTATTTTATTAAAAGGGATTATGTTTTAGAAATTATACTATTAAATATATATTATACACTAAACGACCTAAGCGACATTTTCTAAAAAAAAACCACCAATGTTTGTTACTTAATACTAAATTAGAAATCAACAATATTTTATCATAGGTACTACGTATTAAAATACTTTGGTATTAACTTCAGTTTTTCAATGAACAAACAAGATAATAAAATGAGGGGAAATTGTTATCTCTTGTTTACGTCACTGGTGTTAATAGTAATGGCCAAGTTATGCATTTGTCATTCTTTTTTTTTAGTTGTTGTGATAACTAGCTGTTTATTTAATATTCCACGGATAATGTTCTACAATAATTCTGATTATATGCTAGTCTCCTATAAATTTTAATGTTAAAAACTAAACTGTTCTATGAATTGCGACAGAAATGTGACGTCATCATATTTTTGGGTCAAACTTTTATCTTAAAATGTACCAATAAAAATCTATAATTAAATATATGATCAAATCCATCAATGAAGTCCAATTGTTTTTGAACATTCAATTGTATTGAATTCTTGCAGGAATTTATTTTTAACTGATAAAAATACTCAATTGAATTCGAACCAGTAGTTCCGGAGATAGCGCGTTCAAACAGCTACAGCCTTATATTATAATATTAGTATAGATCTTGAATGAAAACCAACGGATCGATCTAGCTTTTATTTATCGGTCTCAATTATACATCTTATTAAGCATTATTATTAATTATTAACAATATTAAAAAATGAATCTATTTTTTCTTTACAGGCACACGATAGAGGTCGCGGACTTCGACTTCGGTCAAGCGCACCTCGACTACAAAACATTCACGGAGCGACTTCGAGACAGCTTTAGAAACGCCTTCAATTTCCGCCAGAGGGACGACACAGATCCTCTCACGAATAACACTAGATACGACTCAATGACGTAAATAGAATGTAACCAAGTACACAGCAAAAGAGTTTAGTTAGCAGGCAACATTATAACGAGGTTTAGTTTTGTTGTTCACAAGGAAATAAAATTCAAAACAGTCCTAGTAGTAGGTATTTCTTGAAGCTAACATTTTTATGACCTTTTTTAAAGGAAATAAAAATGTTGTGTGGAACTTTACACATATATTTTATTAGTATTCGGGGAATAAAATATAATTTCAATATAAAAACCTTGATAGTCGCCTGCTTATTAAATTTTCATGCTGCTGTATCATGCATGCATTCAAATTATTTAGCGACGGCATTCAATGCAATATGAGTGGTAGAGCGAGTGATTTCTAGCAGCCGAAAAAGTATCTTTATTTATTTCACTAAAAGCCTACATTAATAATCGATCTAAATTCAAAATCTACATCGAAATCGATTCTAGACATGACAGTTTTATAGATTTTCTGGCAAAAACATAAATCGATTCAGCAATTTTGGGTTAAAATCGATTATTCATTTCGGTCTTAAAGAAATGCAACTCGAAATAAATGTCACTTTCCGAGTTGTATAGTGGTAACTTCATAGGCTGTGGAATGCTGAATGTGAATTTTGAAAGTCATGAGTATCTTCGTTAAATAATTCAGTTTGTCGATCGTTAGCTTGATTGCCGATGGAAAACGTTACTACGCACAGAAAAGCGTGAATAATAAGAGTTTTTTATTTTGTAACAAAGTCTTACGTAGAACGGATCGCGGAGTTAGTTTTGAGTCGTTTAAAATTATTTTTTTAGTTAGAAGCGTATACATTATTTAGTTTTTTAACCAGTGAGCCATTGATCGGTTTACTAGAGTAAAGGAATGTAAAAGAAATCTGCTAGTCGTTTGTTTTTTAATGTTGTCAGAAAAAAAGGTCTGTCAATAACATTTCAACTTAATGTAAGTTTTTTAACGTTGGCAATTCTCCATCGGTTGTCAAACTCGATCATTTTATATGTCTGTGTCAAATATAAAAGTATTAATATATTTATCTTGTAAAAATTTAATTATACTTCATTCCATTTTTCCTAATTATTTTAAAGGTGTAAAAATAATAAACAATATTTTATTTCTGATTAATAAATTGTATCGATTGTTGTAGAAATTAGGGACAGTTGATTATTATAGTACTGAAATGGAATTGTTTTGTATATGAAATTAGATCTATTTCGCTTCTATTTGGGTTGGAATTAGATCGACCTCTTAGGCGGTGACTTTTGGAAATGTACCTATTTATGGCTAAAAGTGTATTGGCTAGCAACAGTTATAGTGGCCATTCTAAAATGAAATTGTTTAATTGATATAAGCAATACTGATCTAGCGCATGTCGTTCGTCAAATGAGTTTTTGACAAATATTTTGTTTGACTTCTTCAATTGTACCTTTATTATTTGCATGTTTTTTCTTCTAGTATTTTTCTATCTGTAGACATAACGAGCGATAGATTGGATTGCGCTGCGTAGCTTTTATCGATCAGCTTTAAATTGTTGCCAATATAGTCGAAGATTTGAAAACAAAGAGTAAAATGGTAGTTGAAATATGGCCTCTCAATAATAATTTATCTTACTAAGTATATGTGATCTCTGTGTCCGTCTTGTCTGTTTGTGTCATTTAAATATCGTTTACCAAAAAAATCGGTGATTATTACGTTATATTTGTATTTTGTTCTAACAGACTGACGCGTTTGAAATGATATTCTATTTTTGTTTTATGTATATGTATGTATATATTTGGTTGATTGTCGTGTTTGGCTTGTTGCACTATTTTTTTGTGAAAATACTAATTTGTAGTCTCTGTCTTATCCATATTAAGTAAATTAACCAAGACTTTAATAAAATGTCCCGTGTTATGTAGAATGTGGTTCGAACAAATGAAAGTATGAGTCATGCGATCAAGTGTGGAAATGCAAATTGGGCTAAGTGAAGAACCAATAATAAATTTGACGTGACGTCACAGATCCGGCCCTCTTACAAATCCAATATATTCGTGCTAAAAGTAGTGCAATAAGGCAGAGTTGTAACTTTTTTTTACAATGAAACTAATTGAATCTAGTGCTATGTTAGGACTGACGCACTAACGTGATCAGTCATGGTTTGTGATATATTAGATTTAATCAAATTAGGTCTATAATTAATCGTGTATTTAATAAAATATTTGTGCCAAAAGTATATAAATCTGGAGTTGTTATTTTATTTTTGTTTATACGAATTAAATAACTGATATATATAACACGTGAGTTACTATTATTTGCTATTTGCAATAATGTATTCCTTCCAATATAAATGAAAGTATTTAAATACAAATATAATTATTTTGTCTAATTCATTTATTTATATTTATTGGTGTATACTTTTGGCATAAATAAATAATTTAATATTAATTTGTAGTTACAATAAAATGTTATTTAAAACTTGAGTGTTTTTTTCACATCTTTCTAAAATTCTAGATAATTATTATTTAAATACTGAATTTCACACCTAAATGTTCAGACGTTTTGCGAGCAATAAGATGACAAGGCAGCCAAAAGTGTGGGGGAACCAGGGAGAACCATGCTTCTGCAAGAATAGGCCGCCTCAACCAGAGAGATACATATGTAATCATTACAACTAATCAAAACGGAGCCATACAGAAAATAAGCGTCAAATAATGTATGTATACGTACGTACGTACATAGGTTCGTCGCCCAATCTTTCTGAATTATATAGTGACTCTTGAAGGAGGGGGCGATCCCAAAATTTCTAATCATCTATATTATTATATTTATTTAATTTTGTAAGGCTGTAGAGTTTGTTTGAACGCGCTAATCTCCGGAACTACTGGTTTGAACTGGACAATTTTTTTGTGTTTGTTTGTCCATTTGTCGAGGAAGGCTATAAAACATCACGCTACGATATGTAGGAGACGGGCAGCGGGTGAAACTGCGGGACAGTAGCTAGTCAATCATAAAAGGACCGAAAACCCACTTCAATTCTTCTGGAGCCCCAGATATTCATTGGTGGAGCCTATCGCTTAGGAGCAGGAGATTCGTACCTATGCTTCTGAAATAGATGTTCGAGACAAAAGCATGACGATGTTTTGCTTCCCCGAATTCGAATTCGAAAATTAACTACAAAAACAATACAAAGAATAATTTGCAATTAAAAGTAATTGCGATTTGCGAACAATTCCACATTATCATCGACCATACGATTAGTCATCGTCCACATCAGTCCAGCTATCAGTAGGTCAACCAGTACCAATTTATAAATTTTCAACTTTACAACAATAAAATAAAGTTGAGAATGGAATAAAGAAATTTCACAAAATACGAATACAGTTGGCCTGCTGGCATCAAAAACAATACAAAGAATATTTTATTTCTATTTGCGCAGTCTTACCTACTTGAATCAATTTTCTGATACACTGTTTAACCTTTACGTTGTAATGAACTCGCAGCGGTTAAACTTAATCGTACCTAATAGATACTCAAGTCAAGTGTCGACGCAAACAAAGAGAAATCGGACTAATGAATTTTGTAAATAAGTTTTTTTTTAATTTGATACAGTTTTATTAAGAAAGTAGGGAAATAACTTTTATTTAGGGCGACGACACTGTATTTTCCTTAAGATTGAGGTAAAATTGTTTTTCGTTTTAAATTAGTGGGTAGATTTAAATAAGTAGATAGGTATTCGCTATTGGTCGTATTCTTCCTGATGAAGTAACCATTACTAAGAACTGTTTGTTCACCTGTTCACACCAGATTGACTGCAACCCGATTAACAGTGTAGTTACGGAATCTTTTCCTTCTAGGTACTATGAGGAAATAAGGTCCAATACTTAAGTTAAAGACACAGTTGAATTGGTCATAATAAGGAAATGTGACTTTAACGTAATTGACAGCTAATAATCTGTTTCCTACAACGAACAATTTGGAAGTTTAGTTCAATTGATATCGTATAGGAAATGGAAGCTTCGCAATGGTGGGTCGCAGATTATAGAACAATGGTAGGTATATCTTGCTATATTATTATTAAGTATATAGCCATAAAGACAAGGTTGAACAACCTTGTTTTAGCTATTGGCCCTTGGTTGGCAACGGCGTGTCGTTAATGTATGTAGGTACTACTACAAGTCACAATTGAAATGTCATCGCCCTCAACCTATCTAAAACAAACAGGGTACCTACATTTTGTCTGCTTCGCGTGTGTGATGAAATAGTTGACCAAAACATGTTGGACCAGAACAAACACAACAGAATTTTAACGTGAACTACAACCTTACAGAATACCGGTGTGACGCAACACTGACGTTGTGTTTCGTCGTATGAGAGAGATAACCAAAGGCCCAATCCTGCGCCCTCTTTCAAATCCCTTCCCTTAAATCTCTAATACCCCAAAAGGCCGGCAACGCACTTGAAGTACCTAACTTCTTTCAACTCCTTTGATACAAGGAGGAACGGGGGATTTTAGTCAGTAAGAATCTGACACTACTTCACCCTGGGCCCGCTGGGCTGGAGAAGTCATTTGATAATTTTCCCTTCTCAAAATAAGTGATCATTTAAGTATATTATGTGTCGCTATATGGTGAGTCTATCGCAGAGTAGGTATAGCAAACTGTAAACAATTGCAGACTTCGTTGTGTACGAAGGTACCTCCTATTGGTTGAGAATTTGCGAATATATTCCTCGATTACCCATCCCTAATATATTGCTTGAACTGGAAAAGAAACAAAGATGCTTTAATCTGCAATCGAATTTGGGGCAACTACCAAGGAGGTAGTAAAGGTAAACCCAAACCTACATTATGATAATAAAAATCTAAGAACCACAACCCACACACCAGAATAAAATAACAGTCACATTCTTATTCACAGCTCTTAAGGAGCATCCGCAACACTGAACTTTCGTACTAATTTAAACCGAGCCCAGTAAATCCGACTCAGACATTAAAAGTATTCGTTTTTCGCATTTCATTAAAATTTTAACTCGGTAAGCGCGGTCTAGGCATTTTAAGTGCCGCCGGGGTTAAGTCGCTTTAATCGTGTAACGAATACACGAGGAGTTATT